GACGAGGGTAATTGTTTTGCCACGCAATTGGGTGGTTGTACGGTGGCCCACTGATGAGACGACTCGGTGTTTTTCGCAAATTGTCTTAGTAAACCGAAAATGGGACTATGGATGAGCTGGAGTATGTAACTTGTAGTTCACATGTTGATAGGAGATAGTAGACTGCAAGATTTATATCCTCTTATCTCCCTGACATATCATTCATCTCATCTAGTTCAACAGTCACTCTCATTTCATACAAACAAACACTCATCAGCGATCACTACTCTTCCATTCTACAATGGCTGTATCCAGTCTTCGTCCCGTGATCCCTTTCCCTTTTGGGACTACCTCTCAGAATGTCTCTGCTGAACCATTGACTACCGCTGTCGATCGGGCGGCTCTTGAGACATCAAGCAAAATTCTCGATATCATCGGGAGATATCGCATGAAACAGGACGATAACATTTACTCACATTCCGATGAGTCAACTCTCAAATTCATCGCTCTCATCTACACACACGTCAAGGCCGGCAAGCCAGTCCCTATGTGCCTACCGGCTTTCCCTTTCAAGTCGCCAAACTCAACATCGAAGACGCTGGGAAAGCTTCCTGATAAGGGTGAAGAGATTGCTCTTGCTCACCTGAACGGACTCTGCAGCGCTATTGGCGATGTATATGCGCCCGGCGCCAGACTAACCATCATTTCCGATGGATTAGTATATAACGGTAGGTTCGACTTGGTTGTTTTTCAAGGACTTTAGCTAACAATTGCAGACCTACTTGGCGTTCCAGATAGAGATGTCTGGGCCTACGGCGAGACTCTTCGCTCCGTGGCAGCAGAGAAAGAATTCCACAACATCTCCTTCGCGCGTCTTCGCGATCTTGTTGAGATCGATCTACCGAAGGACCTGGAGGAGATGACCTATGTTGCCAACGCATCAAACTTTCGACGTGCACTTCTCAACACCTTTAGCAAGCCCGGATGGAGTTGGGATGACGTCCGCCAATCAGATGATCAGTGCATGACTTATCGAGGATATATCAAGTTTCTTCAGACAGACTTGGAAACAGTTTATCCGGTTGATCAGAACCGCAGTAAGTCAAAGTATAAGAGAGGCATTGAGTATATCGCGAAGCAGATGATGGCTCGTGGAGACGTAAGTGGCAAACCGTCCTGATTCAAGGTAAATTGTGTACTCAGTACTGACGTTGCAGGCCTTCGCAAATGCTGTTCGACAAAAGTACCCCGATCATGTTCGCTTATCAATTCACCCCTCAACCGGCGCTGTCAAGCTTTCTATCAGCCTATTGCCAACGGAGCAACTGTACACCACGCCCTGGCATTGCAGCGTGGCTTACAGACTGGACGGTACCATCAGAACCGGCATGCGATCTGAGTTCGACAACGACGCAAGTCTCGAACTTGTCTACGACAACGGAAGGCCTTCGCATTACCGAGAGAAGTCACCACTGCTATCATGGGCCGAGGACAAGGGCGGTATCGTGGTCGACCCTATGTATCCCGCTGGTCTGATCATTCGTCCTGCCAATGGAGCTGGCTCCCTGACACTCGACGATATTGACACCAAGAAAGTTCGCGCCTTGTCAGAAATCAACTCACCTGTTGTTCTCAAGGGGTTTGTCAAGAAGCCCAATCGCGACCGCTTTATTGATTTCAGCCACCGTTTTGGAACCCCGCTACCCTGGAAGTTTGGCCTGCTACTTGAAGTGAAGGATCGAGGCCAGGACGCTCGAGGCCTGAACAATGTGCTCTCGGCAGAGCCTATGCCGTTCCATTATGATGGTTTGTTCAAAGTCGTCAAGCAGACCGATGAGAATGGAAATGAGAAGACAGTTTCAACTCCTCCCCAGTAAGTGCCATTTATGACGATGAGGATAAGCGACTGACCGTATGTTAGGTTCCAACTATTCCAGGGCGCAACCTCTTCACCAAGAGATACCGGCTTCACTCTTTTCTCTTCTTCAACCCTGTTCTTCAAGTATCTCCCATCGTGGCTCAAGAAGGACATCTCCAAGCTCACCTGGAGTGTATCGACGTCAGCATTCGACAACACCGTCCTGAGAGGTCTACCTCTAGCCATCGACCACCCTACGACCGGAAAGCCATGCCTTCGATACCACGAGCCTTGGCCCCAGTCAAAGACGCGATTCGACGCTTCTGACGTTACGATTGACGGACTCGAGGCTACTGAGAGTGCTGCTGTCTGCGAAACAATTGACTCGGTTCTTTATGATCGCCGAGTTGCGCTGTACTATGCCTGGGATAAGGGCGATATTCTGGTTAGCGACAACATCTTGATGATGCATACTAGGAGCGATTTTACTGCGGGCGTTGATCGTGAACTGTGGCGAATTCACTTTGACTAGTGCGGTTATTGTTTGGGTCGGCAGGTCTGATTATGTTTTGCTTTTGCGAATTTGAAGGTTTCATATAGATTATTTCCGCAATAGATTGTTTTTGATACTTACAGCCCATTGGTCCCGCTTTGACTACTAATTCTTATCTCAGTGATCTTGTGATTCATCCCGGGAATCCCGTCCGGAGATATCTCGGTCGGCATCCACATCCGACTCGGATAGACTACCGATCAAACCTTATGGCAGCTATATCAAGGATAAGATCGCGGGGTAGCCCTGTTCATGGTAAACTCAGTTATCTCTTCAATCATCATGGCTCAAGTCAAGCAATACCATCTACTGCCAACGGATCTGATTCCGAACTCACCAAGACCGCTTTTACACTACAAGAATGTCTTAGCCAAACGTCCGAATAGCTACAAGTGCGACCCCGCCGAGGTATGGGATACGTTTACCAAGAATGGCTGGGACGTCCAATGGATATTCCGATACCCAAACACGCAACTGTCGCATTTTCATTCTGAGGCTCACGAATGCATGGCTGTTCTCTCAGGCACTGCAACAATCCGCTTTGGTGTCGGTGATACGTCAGAGGATCTCCAAGAGAATACATACGGATCAGCCTGGGAAAAAGGCGGAATTTTGTTGGAGGCTGAAGCGGGAGATGTGTTTGTCATTCCAGCTGGTGTAGCGCACAAGACTCACAACACGAAGCCGGCTGCCGAGTTCAAGCTGCTGTCGCCAGGTGTTGGGCATGGCATTGAGGCTGACGACCCGAAGAAAGCGTTGTCTGAGATTGAACTGGATGGATATACTATGATGGGGGCTTATAACGGCGGTGAATGGGATTTCGTGAAGAGCGGAGGGGACTATGGCAAGTCATGGAAGGTTCCCAAGCCGAAGAGAGATCCTGTGTTTGGGGAGGCAGAAGAAGGACTTGTCAAGACTTGGCCTGGAGGGGATACTGAGGTTGATTTGGAGATTGTTCAAGTGGAGAACAGAGAGTATAAGTCAAAGATATAGCTCATTGCTCCCAACGGTGGAAAGGGATCAGCCATGAGGCATCATTACAGTCTCTGTAGGAAGGCTCGGAGGTCAAGAGTCACCAAATGGGTGATAGTTTGAGTCAGGGTTGGTACAATAAATATATATAAACATATTGGAAAAGGAAACGACCCAGTCACTCCTCAACACTAGTCATATCATAATCCATCTATCTCGTGTTCGCGTAGTAGAATTAGAAAGCGTGGATCCATTATCCCTTAGTCCTGGACACCAGTAGGGGTGTTGCAGAGGATGCCCTGGTCAAGCTGTGATGGTCAGTAATAAGTCAAGTGAATGGATGGGTCAGACTTACGATAGGCAGAACACAGCATCGAGCTCGCTGGCCAATGGCAGAGCAAACAGCACTGAAGTCAGTGGCGTCGGTAGGAGCCTCGGGAGCTATTTATGTCAGACTCAGACTTGTAATGGACATTTTTGAACTTACGGTTTCCACAGTCGAGGTCGGCAACTCCGAGGACATCAGTAGCACAGCATTGAGAAGTGCCGTAGAGACCAGAGCAAGGGATGTAAGCCTGGCGCTTCTCCTCAGTGGGGAGAGCAGAGACGGCAGTAGCCAGGAGGGCAACGATAGCGAGTGAGAAGTGCATGATGAATTGAGTGACTGAGTAGATGATAGAATGATATGAAGCTTGGGAATGTGGATGCAGATTCAAATTGATCTGTTAACAATCCCCATATTTATACAAAATCCAAATTATAGATCTCATAAATCATTAAGATCATCGTCATTAAAACTAAATAACCTCAACGTCATTATCTCACATCAAATCTCCAATGAATACCACGTTTAAAGCCGTTGACGTTTCCGATGGCGAGATCCCTGACCTATATCATCTATATATTGAGTTGAAACCTGTTGTAGCGTTACAACGGCCGGGCGGTTTACAGCTCTGCAGGGATCTAACGCATAAACGTGTCGCGACGATCGCTCGATGAATTGGCACCGCTGATTCGCTGGACCCTCGGAGGAAACACTCAAAGGAATACCCGACTGCCGAAAGCATCACACCGTTAATTTTAGAAGGCTAATTTGAGGCGAATTTGGAAACAAGTTGGTTGCTGGGCCGATGTCATGACCTGTTGGGAGAAAGTAATTGGTCAGGCTGGTTCCTGTGAGGCCTCATTGGTGTACGGCAAAGTTCCACGACCGTTATTGATCGTCCGAATCCTGCTCCTATCAGCTTCTTCAGCTTGGAGTTTGTTGGGGCTGGCGTAACGACGTGGCAAATCATGAATGTGCAGATTGTTTCTCATACTGTTCCTGCAGAAAGTGGACCTTCGCACCGAGGACTTGATCCGGCTTCCGACCCTGGTAAATGAGCATAAACTTGATTGAGATGAGATATCCGAAACTTATATCCGATCCGATTATATAGGTGGCTTGACTTAGGTAGCGGATTAAATCTCCCGAATCAGATAATGACATCAACCATCATGATGATCTGATAGACATCGTGGCTATTGCCTGAGCATCTTTATGGATTGAAAGAGGAATCAAGGAAATGCCATTGAAGAAGCAGACACATCGCAAGACAATGTGTTTCTGGCATCCCTGCTGTGATCCTTCCTATTTCGTCAATGGTACTTGACTCCAGGCTTAAGCTCACTTCGGTGATGATGCATGGAGTTCCTTGCTTCCCTCAGCCGAAACCTCAGCCTCTCACCCCCGTCATCGCACAAGTCACCATGCTCGTCGAAAACCAACTCAATGCATTCCTTGACGTCTCCAGACAACCCTGCACCCCTCAGAGTATCGCCCTCATTAGGTCTGTGACCCGCCAAAATACTGATGAGGCCAAAGCCCCCAGATACAGGCGACGAACAAAATACGATGCGTACGATAAGAAGTACCAAGCCGACAGTAGGCTGAGCGAGCAGAACGATAGCAAGGAAAGGAGACCTCTTGAGTACCGTGACAGTCTTCCAAGCTTTATCAGGCCGATGGTACTCAAATCGTTCACGATCTCGAGGTTCCAAATCGTTAACTGGGGAGCCAATACCACAGAAGGCGGCCAGTCGTGACCAAAGAAGAGATGACACCACAGCCGTGAACCTTATCTGAGCTGCTTCATCCAGATTTGCCGTAAGCAGGTCACTGACAAAGTCGCTGAGCAAGTATCTGGCATCATTCAAATGAAGATGTCTACAGCCGTCTGGGAATGCTTCCACAAAACTTTCACCGCAGCTACCCTCGACAAGGTTGACTGAATTGGCAGTAATCTTCCATTTCCCATGACATTTAAGTCGCTGACTTGTGAACTCGAGCGCTTCCTTCTGAAACCTTTCTTTTGAGGGTTTAATATGCCTGTCTTTCTCATGCGGTGTGAGAAGAACGAAGAACTGTTCGACTTGACCTTGGGGCCACAGGGTCGACAGCCACTTTTTCTCTTTGTAAAGAGATATATTCTGTGGCGCATCGTCATCGCTTGAGTCAAAAAGGTTGTTCCACCACGAATCGTTATTGCGCTGTTTGTCAACTTGGTAGTTGAGATGCCAAGCCAAGCCAAAAATGTCAGCAGACACGATATATGACTGTTGGCCCCGGAGCTCAGCCCTAATGGTCTTGACGTAAGATGGACTTGGTCCGTCCAACATGGCAACTCTGATGGCGTCATCATTGAGTAGGAGCATGTTAAAACCAAAGGTTTGTGGTTGAGGGGGTAATTTGGTCACGTTGTTAAACATGAAAGGTATCGTAGCGTTGACCATGAGAGAAGCGCCGGAGGCAAAGTTGGCGAACCCAACAGGGCCAGTGAGACCATATTGGCCGCCGCTGGCATGTACTTCAGTTGTTACCTTTCCACCAACGAAGCTCTTGTAGCCAACGCTAAGAAGCAATGGGAACGCTAGATAAGCAGAGAGAAGCAGTGTCCACCTTTGACTCCCCCGTCGCCCGTTCAGAAGACTTCCCAAGATACTCCTCTTAATAATGGAATCGTAGTTCTGTAACAGACTCGCCCATCGTGTCTCGAGTTGCAAGAAGACAATCGTTGACAATTTGGCGGTGCAGAGGTCCATGAGCGAAAGCACCAAGCCAACGACGATGAGCTGATACTTTTGTTCCAGGCTCGCTGCAGTGGCTGGATGAAAGCAACAGACCAGACCAGCGATACTACAACAAAAGCTCAATACCAGTGCTGCGATCTCTGAGATGTCGCAAAGTCGTCTGCTGATGGGTTTGCCGAGTCCGCGGTGTTCATGGCTGGTATTGAAGGGCTCGTAAGCGGATGCATCATCGCTTGGCCTGACCTTATGGCGGGAAGGCAAATGAGGGAAGGCATCCATTTAACAAGATTTGTGCTACAAACCTCAGTGGCTGACCGGTGTCTGTAGAAATTAAGAGGCTAAAGGAAGTCTAAGTTGAGAAATTGAAACTAGGAGCAGAAGGAATGAACGGAAGCGAAATATCGAGATGAAATGCGGCTCATAATGCTGGTAATTTGTTTCCGGAGTAAATATCGCTCAAAACACTACCCAAAGCGTTGATCCGACCAATAATACTAGAGTGTTGAGTCTGGTCAGATCATTATTGCTTCTGCAACCCTTCGAAGTGATCCTTTACAGATGGGTGGTATCGTCACCAATCATAGTGCAACACGATACAACCTGCCCTCGAACCAACCCTCAGGTTTGCCGTGAAGAAAATCAAGCTCTCGAAATGAATGGCGCTCATCAAACTCCATAAGTTTATAGAATGAGGTTTCGGACATTATGGTACATGCAAAGTATGTATAATTTGAGAGCTTAATTATCTTATTGATGAAGAACCCCGATAGTCAGGGGAAGATGCCGAGTCCCTCATGACCAGTTGTCGTAAGTGGCGAAAGCTCTGGAGCCTGATTTTCAACCTGCAGTTGTGAAAGTGGCTGCATGAGCTGGGAACAAAGTGGTTGCTCTTAGAAGCGACATGTGATAGAAAAAACCAGGCTCTCGGCTATTTATCCGCAATGTCCAAAAATCCCAACATCGCTGCGAGCACTTCAGAATATTAGTTTTATCCACGGAAAAGATTAAGTTTTAATTAGACAATACTTACGAGCGCCAGCTGTCACGATATATGAAGCTGTTCCCCAAGCAGTCTGTATCGTTGCCACATCCGTCCACGCCTTTGCGTTCAGCCAGATACCGATGGCCAAACTTAGCAAGACGGGGACGAGTACCACTATTGAGATACGTGTAACGGACCAGTCCAGAACCAGTTCAAGACCATATTCACCTTCGAGTATATCAAGTCTCTTATTGTTCAGGGTGCAATGTATCCAGTCCGACCAGGCTAAGGAAATATGTCGGGGAACATGCCATTTTCTGTAGGTACTCATGAACAGCTGCAAGTCGCCGATTCCATTGTCATCGAGGTTGACGCGTGTATGCGCTCCTGTATCTGCATCACACTGATTAATTAGCATGAGCTGAAACCTACTAAGTAATGAGGACTAACCTTGTAAAGTCTAAACCCTTTCAAATGTTTCAGCGACAAAAGAGTCCCTCTCATTCCACGTAGTCGGAACGTCGCCCAGCGAAGCTTGGAAAAGAGCTGTTCCGGTTTATCTACAAAGACAACTCTTTCCTTTGGATTAGGATAGCCGCGGAGAAACAATCCCAACACAACGTAAGTTGGTTGTATGCGTGACTCGAACTCAATAGCTGAGGTGCGTGTGACACCGAAAACAGGTGTTGAAAAGGTCGTCTTCCATTCAATTCTCTCCGCTTGCACCTGTTGTCCATCTTGCTGTGTGGGTGAGTTCTCCCCATCTGCAGCCCCATGCTCTTCATCACGTCTTGGTATTGGGTTCAGTGGAAACATAACCTCTCGATAAGCCTTCGGGTATGGAAATGTCGCGGTTTCGTTGATCTCATAGTTGGAGCTCAATTGCGGCACTCCCTGGGCTGCGGGAGGCTGTAGAAAGGACTGGCTCTTAACATTCCACTGATGCCGAAGTGATCGGATGCATGGAGTTCGCTGTTCTAAAAGACCATTGTAGTCGAGATGCCCTATGCCGTATGAGAAGTAAGCATGCCAGGCTGTAGTCGGGATGGGTCCGGCGGGTGCTGGCTGGGACAGGGACACGGGCGCATCGTTAATAAGCAGCGCCATTCTAAATAGCAACATGCAAGTGGCTATGGATATTCTGCTTGACTTGATGATTATCTGAGAAAATTGTGAGAATGAACCCCGCGTAACAAGAGTTGAAAATGAGGGCCATTCGATCTTCAGCCGCAAGCCACCACGAGCCCTCCAATGAGACGAGACGCTGAAGTTCCGTCGCGCTGAAAGCTCTCCGATTAGACCAATCATCACGCGCCGCTGACAATCACCCAATGTACGCAGGCATAAGGGCAAGTGATAATTTTACGCTAAGTATAGAAAACCAATACCTGATTGTAATTGGAACTATTTTCTGCTTAATCAAGATGAGATGAGCCAGGCAAGTCTTTAAAGACCGACTGACGATTGCGGTTGAACTACAAGTAGGTTAGTAAAGTTCCCTAGCAACATAACACACAGCTTACCCTGACGCCCTCTGTGACGTTCATAACAAGGGCCTCTTGTGAGAATAAAATGAAGGATTTATTCAAATCCACACTGGACTGAGCATCCTTCTCAAACTGTGCCTGGGCCTTCCTTACCAGCGGAACCGATTCAGGGCCGGCAAGAAAGAGTTTGTAGACAAGTGCGTATTGGGGCATGTTTGCGCCGCCAAAATACGAGTTCAAGTCGAACTGGTCAGAAACAGCACCGACGTTGCAAATTAGCCCCCAGACTTGATCCTGGCAGCAAGAGTTGATTGCGTCAACTAAGCGAGGGGTCACCGTCTGCTCCAGGCTCTCCCCGTCCTGCCTGTCATCTGGCGTGGAAATGAAGTACATGGCAACAGTAGAGTCGCCGGGTTTAATAGCGTCGGATACCAGCTCAGCTCGCTTTTTAGCAGCCTGGGTTTGCAGTGGAATGGTCTTCTCATATGCCATGAGAACAACACTGGTTTCGAAATCTGCAAAGAAAGGTCCATCTGGTGCGATAGTTGTTTTCACATAGTCGCTAGAGAAGCATTTCTGGACATGGTCCCAGTCTCGAAAGAAGAGTTCTGTGGTATCGTCTCTTCCAACCCAATTGTGATTGGCGTTCAAGGGACCGCCAGGACGTGATCCAAAGGCCGAGTCAAAGACCTGGGTCTGTATGTACTTACTATGCATAAGCTTAGCAACGTTGTGTAACTCAAGGGATTGCAGTGGGCAGTCGGCGTACTAAGGTTTCTGGTCCTTATCCTCTATAGCGTCAGAGATACTTCCATGGATACGGAATCGATGATCAAAGAACTCTTTTCTGGTCATATTAGGCTTACGCCTGCCAGTAGCAATCTGTTTAATATGGGGCATCATGATGTGAGACTGAGCAGTGATCTTTTGCTGTAAATCAGGTGAGATTGATGAGTCGGTATGCTGGTGGGCGGTTACCAAGCTTTGCTATAAATGTAACCAATATCGCTGAGTTACAGAATGAGTCTAAGAGGAGATTTCACGATCTAGTTTTATGTGATTATTCACAGGCAAGGCTTTAGCTGGCTTCGGATGAGGCGGATGTAAATTGAGACTGACACGAGATCTACAAGGTGGAGCCGACGAACATATACCCGAGTGAAACAGGGGTAAAGCTGTCGTGAACGAGTTCCCAAGTTTAGCTACGACAATCAGAACGTGGAGCCGATAACTGTTGGCCAATGAATGCACGGTATTACGGGCCTTACGTGAAGAGACAGTAAGTGATACAGACCAGCTGCATAGCTGCAGCATATCTAATAAGGGGATAGAGTTAAATGATTGTACGGAAGATGAGACCTGTGGCTGAGAGCTTAATCCAGCCGAGAGAAGATAGTAAACACAAAATCAAACTAACTTAGCCTCTTAGGTGACATAGGTCACCAACTTCTTATGTACAGTTCCACTTTCTAGCTTATCCAGCCCTTCTTGAACTTCTTGAAGCCCATCGAGAACTTCAAATTCTAAAGGTGTGATCTGGCCATTTCCCAGCCATTTATCGAGTCCCCCCCAAAGCCAATGATTAAGCTCAACACCAGCCGCAGAGGCCTGGCCTGCCATTGTCTTCCCCATAATCTCACCACTGTACACTGAATTTAGTTGTACGCCATCAATAGCTGCGCCCGTATACTTAATTGCAGTAGCTACTGTTGCTGGCTTCTGGCAGCAGTCCACAATCTGTGAAATAGTTTCCTCTGTGACAACAGTATCAAACGCGAGACGTAGATCGGGTGCGACGGATTTGATCTTGGTGATGAGGTCTGGATCCGACCTCGCGAAAGTATAGTCGGCACCTCTGGCTTGTGCCTGGGCTGTAGTTTCATTGCTTGATGTAATTGCAACCACACTATAGCCAGAGATCTTTGCAAGCTGAACGGCAAGCTTGCCTACCCCTCCGTTGGCACCCTGGGAATAATTAGTTTTTTCAGCCGGTGATACACAACTACAAATGCTTACCCAGATAAGGACGTGAGTGGAAGCAACGTTGCGTCTGTCAGTAACTTTCGCCAAACCCAAGGCAAGGTAAAGGCCGCAAGCAGCCGTACAGAGGCTGAATGGAAGGGTAGATAGCCCAAGCACCGGTATCTCAGATTTTATCTGGAAGCAGGATCAGCACTGCTGTCTTCAGCACCCTACGGGCCTCTCCGTTCATGACAAGTCTATGATGACTTACTTTACAGCAAGAGTCCTCCTGAACCACTGCATGAGTTTGATAGGAACATCCGTCGCTGTACCCGACTGCTCCAAAGCTCACAATGAGGTCACCCTCTTGGATCCTCTGGGACTCTCCGGGGTCAACAACAAGCCCAACTATATCCATGCCGAGGACTAGACACAGTCAGAGACCCATTAAACGACATTGGCAGGAATCTCAGACAGGGCTAAACACACCATGAGGGAAGGAGGGAATGAATAAATTCTTCTTGATCCTCTTCCAGTCCAAGTGGTTCAGAGATGTTGCCAATACTTTGACTTGGATCTGAGTAGGTCCAGGAGGAGCCGGGTCATAGGCCTCCAGCTGCAAGCGTCCAAATGGAGCCCCTAGAACAAGCCGCTTAGCCATGATGAATAATGTGATAGAAGGGTGGAAATTTGGTCCAAAATTAATACGAGGGATGTCTTTGAATATCGAGACTGGGCTTTCCAGTCTTTATCGAAAGGGCCATCTTGCATGTACTTCAAGTCCGTCTGGTGATCAACACTGGGGCTGCTAAATTGGTAATGCGTACTCCGTAGAGACTAGTGACCCTAGAGGTATAGGGAAGTGGAGAGTACGGGCCGGGGATCTCGGCGTCGGCATGTGGAGGCAGAACTCCGGCTCAAAGAAGGCGGAACTTGGTAAGCCATGATTTGAAAATGGGCATATTATGAGAGTATGGTAGCATTTCCGAATATTAAACAAAAGTAACGAATCCAATTATTTCAGATCCCCTGACGTTAAGACAAACCTTGATCATGGCTAAACAGGATAACCCCCTTGACGTGGTTATCATTGGTGCGGGACTCGCCGGACTTCTAGCCGCACGAGTACTACGCGAAAAACATAACGTTAAAGTATACGAGCGGTCATCTACGCCAATTGAAGTCGGTGCCGCTATTAATATCGGTCCAAATGGTGTTCGGATCCTCGACACCCTTGGTTTCGACCGTTCAAGAGCTGGATCGCTTCCTGTTGGGGCTACCAAGGTCTTCACCAAGGACGGCCATCTGCAATTGGATGAGAAAAATAGTTATGTGGAGAAATACGGCGCTGACTGGCTTTTCCAACATCGGGCGGATCTCAGAGGCGAGTTTCTGCGGTTGGCGACTGAAGATACTGGCATTTCTGGAATACCAGGGAGACCGGCTGAGGTGCTTTGGGATCAGAAGGTCATCGACATCGATCCAGATGAGGGCCGAATCACTCTTGCATCTGGTGAACAGGTCAAAGCAGATATCTTAATTGGTAGGTTATTCAGACATGGCCTAATTGAGTTAATCGACTGACACGCGACAGCTGCGGATGGCATTAAGTCCATGGTGAGGCCATATGTGGTTGGTGATGCTGCGTTCCAGACAGCGAGGCCATCTGGCTTATCAGCCTTTCGTTTCACGTTAGAGGTTGATGATATCAAAGCTGCTCTAAAGCGATTGCCACAGATTTTACAAGCCGATCAGCCTACATGCTTGTCTATGGTGTACTCTTTCGACAGCACCATGCGATCTGTTGTCATGTATCCCTGCCGGAACTTTGAACTTCTCAACTTTGTGTGCATAGTTCCAGATAGCAGCCTCAAGGAGAAGACAACAGAATCTTGGACGGCCTCTGGGGATAAGGAAGAGCTTATGTCACTATTCTCAGACTTTCCCTCTTGAGTGCACGATTATTTCCGGTATGATCTGCTCTATGTCATCTGATTTTGTACTTTAAAGGACTAACTGACTTGAACAATAGAATCGCAAAGAATATTAAACTCTGGCAGCTTCGAGACCAGGACCCGTTACCAACTTACATTCGCGGTCGGACAGTTCTGATTGGCGATGCGGCCCATGCCATGACGCCTCACCAAGGACAGGGCGGAACACAGGCCGTTGAAGACGCAGAGGGCTTCAGACTGTTTCTTCAGAATGATGTTACTAGCGAGCATGTTACTGAGCTGTTGAAAGACTTTGATTCCGTCCGCAGACCACGCGCAAGCCAAATCCAGAACAATACCAGAAAGGCCAAGAACAAAAGGACTGCGGAGGAGGTTTATATGTTTGAGAAGATAAATTGGACCTACGGTGGAATCATGAAAAAGCTCAAGGCTGTGAAAGAAAGAGGCAACAACTACTAATGCGCCCAAACTTATCATTTATCTCGGCAAAGAGGTATTCTATAGAGGGGTTTGAATTGAAGTCTGGTATTAGGTATTAAGCTTCTTCTTTTAGGAGTAGTTGGTCGGAAATGATGGCCAGACCAAACTTAACCGTTTCAGTTCTGCATGCACTGCCTCATCCTCGATTTAAAGGGCCTCACAGACCTCTTCCTGTATCACTCCATACGCAGTACTTTCTACCACGGGTTGTCAACCACCAGACCAAGTTGCATTAATCCGACATTGCTGTAACATTGAAATATCGGCTATGCCTTAAAAGGGAGGAAATATCTTTCAGCTGGGTGGGTCAGGGTGTAAGTCCCCTGCCATAACCTGGGCTTTTCTCCAAATCCAGAGCCAACATGCATATTTGAGAACCAACATGCAGAACTTGAAACCAATACAGATAAGTGCAAATCGGCAACTGAAATTACGAAGAGGGCACTGCCCCCCAGATTTCTTTCGCAATTTCTTTCCTTCTTCTGTCTTGGCGATTTTGCTCATATGTCAATCGGTGCTTCAACAAGATGTTATTTAATGCTTTACTACTCGGCCTTTTTCTAGCGGCCAGGCCATTTCTAGTCTTCGGGGGTGCCTCCGTTATTCGTGCTGGTAACACGCCTGATGACTTTGTGTACAACACACTGAGTCTCGCTCCGAGAAACCCCACCCGCCCTGGCCGACAGCCAAAAGACTCGAAGCAGAAAAACAGCACGTCTCTAGACACAAGTTGGGTCAATGCTGTTCTTTTCGCGTACACGGGGTACGTTAATTCCCACCAGCCCATTGAACCATTAGCATCAAGTCCTGACTATGTTGATATGTGCAGTGAGCAAGAGCTGGGTTCCAAGCAAGGCAACACTTCAGTCTCCGCCAGCATCGAAATCGCTTGCGCGACATGCTATATCAAAGGAACCGCTACCACAGAGTTCATCTATGACCGCGAATTCAATGTCAGCCGCGCTTTTAGCAATTTTACCAGCCAAGTCAGACGCGAGATCGACAGTCTTGCAGACCAAACGGCCGATTACATAGAGAATTACATCGATACGGTGGCCGATAATCTGGAGGACGGATTTGACTTGGACGATTTCGACCTACCGCCATTGGACTACAACTTGAATGTTGACATACCCGAGATCCCGGAGTTCCGACTTCAGTTCCAATTCGATGGCCTGGAAGTATACATGTTGATCGACACGGTCCTCTCCGCTGGTGCAACCTATACTCTGAATTTGTACACGTCTACTACACCTGCAGGCTTCGCCGTTCGAGATAATCTGGAAATTGGTGTGATATTCGCTATTGATCTCATCCTGTCAGTAGAAGGAGAGATCAACATCAGTAGTGGGTTCCATCTTAGGCTGGATGATGGTGTTTTGTTTGACATTGCCATCTTCTCCAAGAATATTTCAAGTCTGACAATGCAAGTCTTGTTTCTGTGACGATGTCTTAACATGAACTAACAGAAGCTCAATAGAAATGGTGGCGACTTCGAATTTCTGCCAGTCACTCTCGAGAGTGCCGGTGTCGTGTTCAAGGCTGTTCTACGTGTTGGTGTTAAATCAGGTTTCGAAATAGCTTCACCTGAAGTGTCTGTCGCCGGGAAGACAATCTTTAACGTTGGCGGAGGTGTCGAAGTGGGAGTATTTGCCAACATTGCCGAGTTAATCACCAACGTCACTCTTTCTACAGATGAAGACGACGACTGCAGCCTTCGCATTGAGGAAGTCTATCAAATAGCTGTCGGCGCTGCTGCTGGGGCTTCAGTTGCTATTGATGATATAACATGGGGGCCAGTGCCTGAAACTGAGATTCCTGTCTTCTACACTACGCTGGGACATGCTTGTGCCAGTCAACGAAGCAGCGATGCTTCGTTATCCGCCACGACGTCCCCGGCACTGGAGGCGAGAGATATGAACGATGATGAAGTTGAGATGGAAAAGACAACAATCTCCACCAAAGCTACATTCGTTGTTGTAGCCTGTCAATCAGAAGGATTAGTCAATTGTCCGATGTCACTGCAGGCAACGTCGAAGTACACCACTACGCGGACACATGTTACTGTTATTCCAACCGACAGCGATGCCGATTTTCCCGAGTCGGTTAGCCATACTATAACGAGCTTGATTCCATTCGGAAAAGGCGCAAAGAAATTGGTAGCAATGTCTGGAGCTCCGTCTTCTTATGTTCCACCAACCACGACACCTTCAGCTAAAGAAAATGGCAAAGATGATGCTTCAGACGGCACATCGAATGAAATGTCAGGCGGAGTTTCCAAAAGTGTCATTATTGGTGTCAGCGTCGGCCTTGGAGTGCCCTTTCTGCTGGGAGTGATTGCTGTAATTTGGTAAGTGAAATACGTTGCCGTTATTCCAAGAGTAATCTTCAGGTTACAGCGGCCAATATCTATTCTTATGGCTCTCATTTGCTAACCGTTCTTATCTGCTAGGCTTTTGAGAAAGAAGAAACTTTCTGCCGCTGGAACATCGGCGGCTCCCATTGAAATCGTCGAGTCGATTTTACCGTCTTCAAAGAGTCATGGTATTTTAGTACACGAGCAGAGAGATCCATGATTGTTCTTCAGAGAGTAGATCTATTCAATTTAGTTAGTCATTCTGTATAAGTCTGATACTGGGCTTGAAGAAGTTAAGGGAGCATTGTTGTTTGTAGATCATGATAATGATCTTTATGCAATTGAAATTTCTATGCTTTAAATCTTGAGGTCCCTATGGCATGATCCTGTAGAGACTTAAATAAAGGCCTCTGCTTCAGTGAAGTTAGATGCCAATCCCGCCCTTTCTACTATCCTTTAATACTCTAAACTAGAGGCATATAGCTGCCTCTACTTATATAAAGGAGTAAGATATTTAAAGGCTTATTTAATAGTTATTTAGTTCAAGCTAGAGAACATTAATACTAGAATCTATATAGCACTGTTCACTAAACAGAAGGCACATCTCCTAAATACTGGTGCAAGTGTTTTCTCTAAGCCCACAGTCAGAAACAGGTCCACAGGCCTGGTGGACCCCAATTCACAAACTTTCCGGACTTCGGACATCATACGAAATCACATCCGAAAATGGAAATCTCTTCTTGCCGCGCGCGAAAGAGAATGAATAAAAAAAGACTTGACAGTTATGGGTTCGTTTCTATGTGGCGTTATCCATCTTAATGACTGCTTATATATACCATGGCTGTATAACTACAACAACCCCGTCTCAGATACCAGGAACTACCACTAAGGAAACAGAATCAGAGCCTAGCAATTTCTTTCTCAGTCCTTAGTTCTATCTTATATCCCTTTCTACGCAACCCACTTACGCAATACCTTCGCCAGATCCATCAACACAATCCTCCAACATGGGCGACACAGTTCACTGCGACGATTTAAAGTGGCTCCCTCTCGCCCCAAAGATCTGGATCAAACTCATCAAACTCACACCTGAGACCGGTGCTTATACAGTCATGATCAGAGCTGAGCCTGGAGGTGTTCTCCCTCGCCATCGGCATGTTAAGAACGCTGAGATCTACATCTTGAAGGGAAAGGGTGATCATCCGCAGGCTGGACACTTTGAGAAGGGAGATTATGTTTTGGAGCACGAGGGTGCGCGACACGATCCGCTTGTTTTTGAGGTGGAAACGGAGATGTTGATGATCAGTGAGGGAGCGTCGGTGTTTGTGGATGATGATGGAAATGATCTTTATGAGATGGATATTTCGATGCTTCAGAATCTTGCGGCTTCGGTGCCATAATCTTCTACACACTTGAATGAAGACCTCGCTTTGGCTAGTCCAGACGTTGACTGCTCTTTCCAACTATAGTTCAGGCCTTTAAAATGTCACAATCAGTGTACTTCGGGTTATGGGAGAGTGACTAAGATCCTGTGTGCCATCAATACATGGTAAGATTAAATCTTTGTAAGAAACTTAGTAGTAGCTACGGTTACGCGTTGAAGTCTGGTGTTAACATGCTAATGCTATCAAATGTGATTGCTGACTACGATTCAGAGAGAAAACTCTCCTCATCAGTCATCAGTAAGAATCCCAGGAGACTTTTCGATACAGTCGTATGACTATCAGTTCCATTACAGGAAAACCTATAGTACGCCTGGTTTCACCAACCCCACATCCGCTTCACAAACCTTATAGGAGCGGCTAATGCACAGCGGATATGCGGATATAGATTGGATTTGCTCTTAGTGTCGGATATGCCCTCCGATCGGTGTTTTCTCAAATTCCGACCAAGTCCGGTCTCCAACTGAATTACGAAAAATAAATCGTATACTGGTTACGATAGAGATTCAAAGTCCGCAGCGAAGTCTGCATTGGGGTCGGATTGAACAGCTCCAGTTGGGATGTACTGTGCCACCTCCAAGCCTATGCCAAGAATAGTCAGATCATAAATAGGATTTCCCAAGAATAAAATAAGCATATAGCTATGGATATAATTTCTTCACATTGGTACCATATTAGTTCAACTAGAAGTCGTTACAGTACAACTGTTATCTTATCTCGAATCATCGTGCATGTTGTTGCTGTGGCCGGCGGTCAAGGAGATGTCGGCAAGACAATTGTTGAGGTTTTCAGCCAGAATCAACAAAACCGGGTTTTAGTTTTATCTCGCAAGGTAGGAGACAATGGCTCCCTCTATTCCCCAGCTAACGTCGTCAAGAAGGTGGATGATAAGTCCACGATTTGCGTGGACTACACCGATGTCTCTCTCATCCGCGATGCCCTTGAGAAACACAACGTGGAAGTCGTTATCTCGTGTCTGAACCTCATCAGTCCGGAAGCAAGTCAGGTAGAGGTCAATTTGGCTCGCGCCAGTGACTCTTCCAGTGCAACACACAGGTTCATAGCTAGCCAATGGTCCATTCCAACACCCCAAGGGTGAGACACTCAACTATCTCTCCGTCCGCTGGAGCCTAACGTTTTAGATCACCTTTAGCCGACTTCTCAGCTGCCACTCTGGCCGTCCTTTCGCAGACGAAACTTGAGTACACCGTCGTCTCCAATGGGCATTTCTCTGACTACTATGGATATCCCAAAGTCAAGACTCATCTCAAACACGCTGATTTTCTCGTGGACATAGCCAAAAGGGCAGCTGCTGTCCCAGGATCTGGCGAGGATAAAGTTGTGTTCACGTACAGCTTTGACGTAGCACGTTTCGTGGATGCTTTGGTGAACACGGACGAGAAATGGTCCAAGAAAAGTGTCGTCATCGGTGAGAAGATCACTACGAACGAGATTGTTGCCATTGCTGAAGATGCAAGAGGTAATTCAAAGTGTATCCTTTGTCATGTCTTGTCTAATGCAGCGTTACGTGGGGGAACGATTCTCAGTCGTCCATGACGATGTAAACAAATTGAGGTCTCTGCAGGTCACCGAACTCCCATCACATGTCGAGGCATACAAGTTCTTTCCTAAGCCTATGCTGCAGACCTTGTATGCCGCTATATGCCTTCGGATCATTCAAGGTCATTTTGACTTGCCCTATGAAGGGTCGCTCAACCAGATGTTTCCCCATATTGAGTTGACATCTGTGAAGGAACTGATTGATCAGGCATGGAAAGCCTAAGAGGCTTATTCTCACATGATTTGGCTGAAAAAACTCGAGATGGCCTGGTCGAGAGCTTGAAACAGCTGACCTTATGTGAGCGGCGGTCCTATGTGACAAGGAGAGGGCAGGCACTTGTTCCGAGCATCTCCTACTATTGCTAAGCCGAATCCTATTAGGTGGAAATTCTGCCAGCTTTCCAAGGTCGGATCATGAACCGCCTAAGTTGTTACAATACATGCAAGACGCTGATATTATGTTTATTGGCGAACTAAAAATGGCCAAGTGTTTGGGCAGCTGTAGTATGTCCTTCTATAACAATGGATTCTCTCTCATGAGAGAATTATGCAACACCTTGCTTTCCTCCGTTCTCTATCAGGAACTGACTGGATGGCTTGTTATCTCTTTCTACTGCGTAATCAAGCGGCGTTCTTCCCTCATTGTCCAAGGAATTAATATCCGCTCCTTTCCTCATTAGTATGTAGAGCCCCTCCGCTCTGTTAATTGAAGCTGCAACGTGCACTGGTGTCTGGCCTAGGTGATTGCGAGCGTTGAGGTCCACCCCAGGCTGGTCGACGAACGTTGACAGAGCCCTCAAGGTCCCATATTTTGTAGCAGTATGCAAAGGTGTCTTGCCATCGTTGTCATTAGCATTGATGCTGGTTCCGTAGCTAGTGAACAACTGAATTAGATCGCCGGTGGAAGTGGTGATTGGCCCCCGGTGTGCAAGGGCGTGGAGGCACGTTTCGCCGTTTTTGTTTCGACTATCGGCCCTTGCCCCATTCTCCAGAAGAAATAGAACAACCTCTAAGTTGGTTTCTACCCTTCCCACTACTTGAGTGAGACATGTCTCACCCATATTATCTAGGGCTGTTACCTCCGCTCCTCGTCTAATCAAGAACCGTATCTCGACGATAGAGGCGTATCTCACGGCCAGCATGAGCGGCGTCTGGCCCCAATGATCTCTGACATTGATATCTGCTCCGTGGCCTAGAAGTTCTTGCATTGTTGCACCAGATCCTTCCTTTTGTGCAGCAAGATGAATAGGTGTCCCTGTCCGACGGTCTCTTATTTCAATATTTGCCCCTCTCTCCAAAAGGAGCTTCACCACGTTGTCGTGGCCTTTTTGAACAGCTAGACCTAGTATAGGCATATCCTTGACACCGTATGTATTGGCATCCGCCCCCGCATCCAGCAGAAGACCAACTATTTCCGCATGGCCATTACTTGTGGCGAGCCAGATGGCACTTTCATTTTTGTATCTTTGGTCAATAATAGCGCTGCGGCTAAGCAGCCATCTCGCCGTGTCGGTGTGACCATTTTTCGACGCAAGCATCAGCGGCGAGTACGCCGCTCCGCTATTGATTGGCTGAGCATCTCTCTCGACAATAACCTTCGCGATTCCCAAGTAGCCGTTTTCGCACGCCCAAGAAAGTGGGGTTCGGGCGAGACCGCCAGCATCTATGTTGGGCAATAGCCCTTCTGTTATGTCCATCCCTTCGTAAAACGCGGAAGGTAGACGCAAAAGAGCAAGGACGCTGGCTTTGTCCCCTTTAGCCATGGCAGCTATGAGTGGATACACATATCTGTCGTCCTCTGATGGGATGTCGATGGTGGCATCATTCTTTAGCATGCTATGAATGAGTGATGAATGTCCTCTGTCCGCAAGTATATATAACAACCCAGCAGTTGGGCTGTACTTACGGACCCTAAACTGTTCAAACGCGTTGACGGCCCGTTTCCAAGCAAGAGTCCAAAATTTCTCCAAAAAGGTTTGTTGTTCAACAGTATTTGCCGCAAAGTCAGAGTGATGCAGAACGAATTGGCTAGCATATTGAAGGAAAGGGTATGGCTTAGTCCACGGTGCATATATATGCTCGAAATAATTATAGACTTCGACGTCGACCTGTCCTTTCACGACAACTAATTCGAAGTAGGAATAGCAGCACATCTTCAATCTGTCATGGCCTATACTCTCCCAGTCTGGTCCAAGTTCTGGCCATAGCTCCTGAAGACCCTTGTCCTTAATAAGGAAGTCGCGAACAGACTCGTGTATGAATTGAACCCTCGGCTGCTTGACTTTTGTGATCTCGCCCAAACCCTTAGATGAACTGATAACACAACGGGCAAAGCAGTCTTCAGAGTCCTCCATGTCCACTGCGGGTATTTCAGAGTCTGCTAGTCCCTCCAAATACAGCCCTGACCAGATCGCGTGATAGTATTCGTCTGGCTCTAACGGTCGTCCGCTGAGTAGAATCCAAAGAAGAGACAGTTGGAGTTCCTCCATATTGCTATTGTCTCTTTTTAGTAGGTCCTTGAACAGGTCACTCAAGCCACTGGGAACCTGTTCAAGTCGTCGTCTCATGGCCAGGCGCCCTCGGCAATTCTCTTTGTTCATGATGTCGACCACGAGGACCACCCAGAGGAATACCCCCGCTGCCTTCTCAAGCATCTTCTCTTGGAGCTCTGCTAGGAGTGGTCTGTCTTTTATTCGAAGATTAGACTTGATATAACTCTCGAGATCGCTGGCATGTCCCGTTTGCTCCTCGAGGATGACACGAATGCCGTATTTTATATCGATGTAGGGGTAGTGACGACTGGAGAAACAGACGCGGAGATCAATGCTGTGTTCAGTGCATTCCTCAGCCAAGTCTTCGAAGTACTCGACTAGGTCCATAACTTGTTGTTCGTCGCATTCGTCGAGGGCGTCGATGAAGCATCTGAATGACCTTTGGCCAAGCTTGGCGACTGCGGCACGGAGCAGGTCTTTCAGGACGTTCAATGGGGGGCAACCACTTTGGTTTCGAGGCAAAAGATCCGGGTCATCCAAGACGGATTCTAGGTCTGGAAATCCGTGGAACAGCTGCAGAAGTAAAGATCGGTACATGCCCGAGACAGTCTTTTCAAGCACCTCTCCACGGGCGTTGAAGAAGAATGAGGCAGTGAGGCTCTGATGCTTGCGGTCCTTTTTCTTCGACTCCAGGTAGATGAACTTCATGATAGTGGACTTTCCAGCTCCAGGCTTTCCTCTGATCCACAAGAAGCCGTGATGTTCCGATATTTGTAGCGGGTCTATCCATGAAAGGTAATCGGGATGCTTGAGAAACCATCGGCAGGTTTTGGAGTGCGCGGCTTTGATAATGGACTTGCGAACATCGATCTCTTCGAAGTTCAAAGATTCTAGTATATTCTTGTGGCGCTCAGATCCCATGTTGTGCTCAGCTAGAGGCAATTAGCCTTATAGAGGGAGACTATGGTATTGTGGAATCACTTACAATACGGTTGACGGTGACTAACGTATGATGCCTGAGAGTCTCCTCTCCATAGTTCCAAGAACTCATATGCATAGGCTGCTGCAGTTGCTGCAGCATACCGTTGCCACTCTTTCGATTTGTGAGAGTCCGAATAGTCGCAGATACCACGAATAGGCAGGCAAGGCATGATATCCATCAGCCCGGCGGCTTCCATCTCGAAGCAAAGCACATCCAGCTCTCGCGCGATCTCATCGCGAACAGTTGAGTCTTTCATGACTGTATTGGCAGAAGCAATGCCTCCATAATAAATGGCCGGGTCGGTAGACAGTCGTATTTTTCTCGTCTCTAGCTTGGACAAGTCACACTCATCACAAGGTAAGTCGGGATCGCCATGATGATAATATGATGCAAGAAACAGACGATCTGGCGCGCTTGGCCGGGAATAAGCGGCGTGATTGCCCATCTTCTCCACCAATATCGAAGGCACTCGACTACCATTGAGCTCATGTCGAGATCTTAGATTCGAGATGACTGTTCGGATGGAAGAGTCGGGTATTTTTGGGTCTGCTGTCCGTTGGAAGCCCTCCTTACGGGTTTTCCCCAAGTCGTACTGCATGACTCGTACTCCAACAACAATGTCTCCAAGCCGTATATCAGCTTTGAGCGGCACTCCGCCACCAATGCCTACCATCAATCCAATTTCGAGACCAGGGAACGTTCTTCTCATGTGACTCAGCACACTCGCGGCATTATTTGTACCGTATTGAGCTGCCGGCAGACAAGCTATCACCACGTTGTGATTTTGGATGCTCCCCAGGACATAAGAGTTGGTGTCGTTAGCTTGCCGCGGACATTCGGCGTGCTCCTCGTCGAGCATCGCCCTGGCTGCAGCCATCTCAATATGCAACGCGCAAATCCAGGCGACTGTATAGCGTTCGCATATAGACTCATCTTCACTCTGCTGGAAACCGGTTTTGCGTCGTTTTGCATGGTAAGGCAGCGCGCTATCGTCACTGTGAGACAGCCGTCGCCGCTCCATTTTGACCCGATTCACTCAGGCTGGGGTTGGCTGCAGTTGACTTTGTGGCTCGTCGACACTGATGAGGCCTTCGACGAGGGKTTCCAAGCACTCTTTGAAGAGAGATGGCTGCCTTCCATGGATGCAAGATGATGCTGAGGGGAAATTTCAAATCAGGCTGTGCAGACCAACGTGCATCTGCAAGTCAGCCTCACCAAGGACTTGGTGACATGATCCCTGCACACATCACGTGCGCTTTTTCAACCTGAGATAACACGAAGTACAAGCAGTGTCAACTTAACAGAATCAGGAATAGTCTCATAACTGAGTAGAGACTCGATACTTGACATCAAATTAATCTCCCTGCCATGGGTACCCTATTAATAAGTTCCATTCTTGTCTTGGTATGAGAGTGAAGTCCTGGGGAAGAAGAGTTGTTGGTAGACACTAGTCTCCTTGTTAGGCTCCAAAATGTTCCAATTTCACCCGTCAGATATAACCATTTTCCAATGCCACCCCAGTAACAAATTTCTGTCAGTCTATTTTAAGGTTAAAACTTCAGTCATAAAATAGTTCGATTTGTATCCTTATTAAAAGTCTCGTGTCGCTCAGGTAACATAACTTGGAATGCGCGCGAATGAGACCCTAACGGCCGTCCTAGTAGAGCTTGAGAAACTGTACATACTCATACGATGTTTCCTTCCACGCGACTCAGAGTTTAAATTATGTGTCTGAACTCAATTACCACTAGCTTCATCACTAAATGAGCCTATACCTAAGCCCAGGCTCTGTAGAATCAAGTTTCGCTCAGATGCTTCAATTGTTATTGGTTGGGAATCGGCACTTATCTCAGCCATCATTCCTCGCTAAACATTAGCTGCCATACCTGTGTCTACAGTGCTGTTGTGCCCAATGGTCAAGACAGCGTAATTTAAGAACCAGTGTGCCTCCCGATTTAATTCAAAGGCCGACGTTATTAAACTGTACATCTCACGATTGAGGTTTCTTGCTTTTTCAGTATGCATCTTCCATCTTTGCTAGCTACCGCTCTACTTGCTTCCGCGCCAGGCTTATGCGCACCTACTCATGATTGTGGCTGCAAGGCTCCTCTCGTTCGTAAAGAATGGTAAGTGACACCGTCGCTGCACAAAGAAGAGACAATTCCGACTTCTTCTCCTTTCGGACTGTTGACAAGGCTGGCTTTGTCTGTAGGAGAACGTTAAGTACCAAAGAGAGGCATGAGTATATCGGTGCGGTCAAGTGCCTCGCGACGAAATCTTCACAGACTGGAAACATCTACGCCGGTGCCAAGTCCCGTTACGACGACTTTCAAGTCAGCCATATCGTGAATACTGACTTTATCCACTACGTTGTAAGTTAACGCTCGCTTCGCATCTCTTTGAGATGTATTCACTGACAGAGCTTCACAGGGGTTCTTCCAAGCGTATGATTATCGCCATACCGTTTGAATGTCTGGAGCTGATGAGAAACAGGTGGCATCGGATATTCATAGCCCAGTATGAGAAAGATCTTCGAGATCTTTGTTGCTATAGTGGTGCTCAACCTTATTGGGGTATGTCTATCTCGAGAGAAATATTTATAACAGCTAATGACCTGAGTCTAGACTGGACACTTGACTCGAACTCTATAGAGGACTTCGAAAGTTCTCCCATCTTTGATGCAGAGACAGGTTTCGGAGGTAATGGCGTTTTCATCGATATCAGTGGCTGGACAAACGTCACTCGGCAGGTCTCTGGCAGGACAGGAGGAGGTATGCCATAACACAGTTCCAGGACTGGGAAGTTCTAACATGAAACAGGTTGCGTTACCGATGGCCCTTTTGCCAAGGGGGAATTTGAGGTGCACGCAGGCCCAGGTATGTCGTTTTGAGCACCTTTGGAGCGATCGACTGACCGTACAAGACAGCTCAAGTGCCTACAACCCGCGTTGCCTGGCGCGCGACATCTCTGCAGAATATGGCATCTCAAAGCTCAACCAAACCGTAGTCGACTGGACTCTCGAAGCCAAAGACTTCTTCGAGTTCGACCAGCGCGTCCAAGGCGGCGTCAGCTCTGAATCTCAAGGATATCACGGTGGCGGTCATCTTGCCATTGGCGGTAGTCTCGGCGAGATGGGCGACATGTACTCTTCGCCTGGCGATCCTATCTTCTGGCTACATCACACCAACGTTGATCGGCTCTGGGATAAGTGGCAGAGACTGGATTGGCCTGCTAGGAAGAGCGACATCAGCGGTCCTGATACCCAATTTGCGTATCCTTATGATTTCTTTGGCGACAAGGAGTACAAGAACATCACTCTTGCTTACGTGATCGACTTTGGCAACTTGCTTCCTGATAGGCGATACGTTACGGTTGAAGAGGCTATGGACACTCGGCGGCTGTGCTACACATATGAGTAATGGCAAAAAGTGGTTGTGATGTGGTATAATTCTTGTTGATTATATTTGAAAACATTAACTATTACAGAATAAAATGTAAAGTACTGTGAAGTGAACTCATGTAGACATCGAAGCTTATGTCATAGAGTCCCGCAGCATGAAATCGTGAAATAATAATCCCGCTTAGTTCTTCTTTCCACAAGCAACAGGGAAAGCCTGGCCCTCAAAGTCGTGAGTCTTGGTACCACTGGGAGTTGTAACGGAGAACTCAAACGCAGAAACAGCATTCTTGTTACCCATGACGTTGCGAACAGGGTAGTGACGTCCAGCGATGAGCTCAACGTGGCCACACTGAGTAGGGTTGTTGAAGTGATAACCAGTAGCAGTGAGGACAAGAGCAGGAGCGTTGGGGTCAGTCTCGCCAGTTCCGCACTCAAAGGCGTTACCCTGGCCGAAGTAAAGAGTGTTGGCGTTATCAGCAGTAACGCAGAGCTCGTAGGTTCCAGTCTCGGGAGCTTGGTAGTAACCGGTGTAAACGAGGGTGAAGTTGTTGCCGTCAACCTTGATTCCGCCGGCGAGAGTGCGGTGGTAGCCGACGTACCAGGCCTTTCCAGCGTAGGCGGCATCAGGGAAGATCTGGGCGTAGCCGGCAAGGTCTTGCATGTAGTCTTGAGCGAAGTATGTCTCGCTTGTGACCGAGGAGTCCAGAGGAGTGAGATCATCGGTGATGTAGTAGGAAGGAGGAACGGACATCTCATCGTTTCCGTAGCCGCGCTCGAAGACGTTCTTGTAGTAGTCGACATTGAAGCCGGCGGCTTGGCATCCGGGCTCGATGGCGCAGGGGGTAGGGACGGGGACGTCAGTGGTGGCGGATGTAGCGCTGGTCTCGACGGCAGTCGTAGTAGTAGGGACCTCGGTTGAGGTTGAGGTGGGCTCGTCTGTATTAAGAGTCTCAATGGTGCTGGTCTCGACGGCAGCAGTAGTAGTGGGGACTTTGATCTCGGTCGAGGTGGGCTCGTCTGTGCTGAGAGTCTCAATGGTGCTGGTCTCAGCAGCAGTAGTGGTAGGCTGAGGAATAGATGCAGTGCTTTGGGGCTGTTAGTAGGTATTGGTAAGAGGGTCGGATTGATGTCTCACCTGCTGGCACTCTCAATGACAACGCTGCTGGAGATGACAGAAGAGGGAGGTTGAGGTTTGCAGGGGCCAGCTTGGGCGAGGCCGAAAACGCCACTGAGGGCAATGAGGGTCTGAGAGGCTCGCATTTTGAGTAGTGGTTGAATGAATGTTGTGAGATAACGAATGACGTTCACTAGAGAGTGAGTAAAGAGCGAATATTGCAAAAGAGTGCGATGAAACGAGAGACTGAGCGATAAAGACCGATGACCAAACGAACACCAAGACCGGAACCTTGTTCCATTTATACGATCTCAACTCATCGTCTGTTTTCTCTACGCTTTGACTCCTATCATCTCATATAGCGTCTCTTATTCCGTTTCATTTCAACAACCCCTGCAACGGGGACGCAAAGTCAGGTCAGATCCCCGCTGTTGTTCTAGCGCAGCCACCGTTTTCTCCGCCGTCTAGGCCGTCACCACCCCATTTGACGGTGAATCCTCGTATTGCTGTTAAATTGGGCGGAACTGTTTCCCACGTGGAAAGCTGAAACACGACGGCGGGAGGTGACATTTTCAACTCCACTGGGTGCTCGATAAGCGGACGTCGCTTTGCTACTGGCCGAACTGGTTCTCGGGTCTAGCGAGCCGGGTACCTGAATGTTACGGGGGTTCTTAGTGGAGCGGATTTATAGGGTAGGGAAGACCTTAAAAGGGACGCGTTTTTCCTTCGCGTGCGATTTACTTACCTGTTGCGTGGTATGAGCGGCTCCCTTGCAAAGTTATAGCTCAGATGGTAATTCCTCATAAGGTCGAGAATGATTTCACAAGGACAGCGAGACTCCACAAACATTTCAAGCGATGCGATGATAATGCGTTAGTGTTGATGCTCCATAACGCGCTTGACTAGGTCTTTCGTATCTCGGCGCGCCGGCGTTCTTCCGTTTTCCGGGCCGACCACGGCTGGACAGCATACTCCTTGACCTCTCAAAGTTTGATGAAGCTAGACCTTTAGACTCCGGTGGAGGATAATTGCCAAGATGTTCTTTTAAAAGGTTTCGCCCACATCCCGTTCTCGTTTCCACAAACGACAAAGGTCCTCTGTTTTCGGGTCAATCGTGCCGACCCAGGAAAAGGAGATTGGATCCGCTACCAGGATGTTTTTAACAAAATGCAGTTAGCCTTCCGTCGATTGAAAAACTTCAATTAGCTAGACTTTTCTGTTATCTTTGGAACCAAACCGTCTCAACGAGAATTATTCCGCACAGGTTGGGATTATAAAAAATCTACTATGAAGATGACAGCGTCTAATTCAGTCTTTCGCATATTTAAAAGCTTTCGCGGCCAACCTGCTTCCTTGAGAAATTTCTTAATTTACTTTAGGGTACCTCGCGATAACAACGCACGGAACCGGAACATGATTGAAGCGCACCAGTTAAGCGATGAGGTCACTAAGAAATGGATATCTATTTATATCTCAGAACGTCTTGATATAGGGTAAACAGTAGACAATGCTTGTAAGTTATAGCACGCTTTGTGATAAGGCCGGACTCCCTGTTATCTCAGAGCAGAACTAGAAATATTATGACGGCAGAAGGAATTAAGTATAGAGTTGATGTAAGTCTCTTTTAACGCTTACTGCGGCTTGGAAGGTCGCAATAAAATGTCATAAGCTTCGCTGATCAACAGGGACGTATTCTTGTTTATGAATCAATTACTATGAACGCTAAGAAACACTTTTATCGTGCCATTCATTGGCCTGTAGACGGGACTCAGGGCCCTGTTGATCTATAATTCGCCTACTGAGGGCGAAGCGCAGTTCTTTCGGAATCACTCCATCGTCCTTGGATATACTGCCTCACAGTTTTGCCCCAAAACGCCGCCGGGACCGCCATGCCTCCCATGACAAGCATCAAGACAAAAATGAGGATAGTTGGCTGTAGAATATGACCATCCTGAACCCAAGGTGCTATGGCAGTACCAATACCGAAACCGAACATATTTCCAGTAAACAGTTGAACTGCAAGTGCCGCTGCTGCCCATCGCGGGAAAGCCTCGGTGATCCAGAGAGTGAAAGCGACGTTGCCGGTGAGATAGCTCATGATGCTGATTGCCGAGGTGATGTAGATCCAGACTGAAGGCCACTTGTTGACAAGGGCGAGACCGTTGAGAAGTACGCTTGTAAGACCGGTAATGACGGGGATGGAAAATAGAGCCAGGTAGACTTCGGCGTGGCGGATACCGCCTTTGCGAAAGGTGTAGTATCGCGTGAACCAGGAAGCGAACGGTCCTGTGAGGGGGAATGCGAGTAGAGAGCCAACAATGCCCGCGACACCAAGCAAGGCATTAATGCATTTTATTTGCTTCTCACCGAACATTACGATAAGTGCAGATGGCTGAGTGAGGTTGAGGAAGATGACGCCACTGAGGATAATGCCTGTAAGTAGAGAAACCCAAAAGGTCAGAGGGTTAAGGATGCAGAGAAACATCTGTCCATATGTTGCAAGCACAGACTCCCACTTCGTCCCAGGTGCTCGCGATACCTTTAAATGAGACCATATTGACCAAGAAGAAGGTAGGTCAGGGAGAGGCTTGTCGTTTCTGATAAGCTCGATTTCATCCCAACCTCCATAGACCTCAACCTTTTCAGAGCTGCTCTGAACGAGAACTCGGCCATCGAGAGCGACGGGAGGTCGTAGGAAGTATGTCTCGGGAACACAGAAGAGAACTAAAATGAAGGCGAGGATGCAAGGTGCAGCCCAGACTTTGTATACACATCGCCAGGTTAATGTAGTGTCGGTTGTGAAAGGAAGAACCAAAAGAGCGAGTTTGATGAGTGCTGAGCCTGTGCACCAGAATAATGAGAGTGCGCTTGGGCGTTCGTGAATGAATGTTGCGTCGATCAAGATCAAGATGAACTGGAGTGGTTAGTAAGGCCTGTGGCTGGGTGGATGTTGACTTACCATCCCGGTTGCCGATCCAGCTGCGAGGCCTTGTAAGCTGACCGCGGCGATCAATTGGCAGAATGATCCAGCGTAGCCCGCCCAGAGCGTCGATAGAGTTGTCACCACGGCGGCACCAACAACAATAGGTCGTCGTCCAACGGCCGTCGATAGCGGAATGCCGATCAAGTACCCAAACCCAGTGAATAGAGTCATCGCCGACGATAAAGACTGTACACCAAAAGGACCCATCGGCTAAACTCAATTAGCATCATCTCAATGGCCAGACCCACGGAATTCTCTACCTTGTTCTTGAACTCCTCCGCGATTGCCTGGAGCAACAGCCCCGGAAGATTCAGCTCGAACGACGCCGCCATCGAAAAGCACTGCAGCGCCAAAAACCCCACCAGCCTCTTGGACCACGACCACGTAAGCGGATCCCGATATGATTTACTCGGAATCGGCAATTTCAGCACGCGCCCGTTGGACGAGACGAAGAAAACACTGCCAGCAGTGGGAAGAGACTCGCGCTTCGCTGCGCCGATCGAACTCGCCCTTGACTCCATGATAACCAAAAAGCACGTTTTGAACCAACAAAGAAAAACACAGGCTGATGGAGAGAGCCAAGAGACTAAGAATCTGACGGGAGAAACTGGATCTTTTATCTATTCTACCCTGGGAAAGCTTGAAGGAAACAAACTTTCGGCTCGACGGAGGCTTAGTTTTATCTGAGGCTAGGCATGAAACGATTAGGTTCTGATGCCCGTTGGGCTAATCGCAATTTGCTCAGCGGGCGTGTTTGGGCGTTAGACGCTAAAGAGCGGAGGGTATTTATTGGTGGTGTTTTATATTTGAGTTTGCTGGAAACCAGGGGCTTCCTGATTCCAAACCGAGGGGCCAATGGGAAAGGTTCCTGCGTCAATTGCCGAAGAGTCTGAGTCGACAACAGCATGTCATGAATTAATAATTATTGGCTTAGAAAGGAAGGACGTTGCGTTTCAGTGCCGAAGCCACAAAAGCTAATTATACGGCTGAGTTCAACGGGCACTAAGGGAAGTCAATTAATACTCCGGTTGACTTTTGTAATTACAACGCGTCGTCATCAATTTTCGTATCTCGATGACTGAGCATAATGAATGAGAGGAAGTGAAGCTGTGGATTTGAGTTTGCGTTGCGACGTGGGCATGTTTCCCCCAGTGCCGATCACAGCAAAGATTTGCATCAAGGTACAAAGCCGAGGGCGACGGATGAAACGGAGATTATCCGCTGTATGTTTCGTATCGCGCACCAATCGGCAGTCAAAAGTATGATTTGTAATGTAGCCGCACTTCTCAAACTTGAGCACGAGACTGTGCACTTGGAGCGTGCGCTACGCGTATCAGCCTCGTTTACGGCAACCCGGATGTTCCGTAGTCCGAATAACTTTAAATATATTCCATTAACGAAACTATCTATTTACTTTTGTTGACGCGTCAATGAGGTGATAACCTCCTGCATGAAAGCTTCACGCAGCTCGAGCCAAGTCCTCACTATTGAGCCGAATGCTCTCCTCCAAGGTTGTAAAGCCAGGCTCACCCAGCGCCTGCAAAAGCTGAATGCATCTGAGCCTCGGCTGTTCGATATCTGCTAGATAACGCATGGCCTGAAAGTCTTTGACAAAAGTTCTGTCAGGGTTCTGCGCCCTTAGAATAGCTAGGACTTGGTCTAGATTCCACGTTTCTGCCCAAGGGAAGATCCTTTCCCCTTGCACATCAGGCAATAAAGTGGCCGCGACGTGAAGCTTCGCATCGTCTTGCACATCGATAAAATATTCTGCATAGCATTGTCAGTTATGCTTCGTGCGGAACGCAATTCAAAGGCTACTTACGAGGTGACGCATTGGTCAGTGACTCGAGAGCAGTACCGCTCCATAAAGTCCTGATGAATCCTGACGTTGAGGGATATCCCTGATGCTTCCAATCCAAGCTCCTGCCAAAGTTTGTACTAGGAAGTACTGTCGCTTGTTAGCGATGCCGTTGAATGATTGATAAGAACTATCTACCTGTGTTGACCACCAGATCCGAACGACGCGTCATATCGTTGTGATAAAAGCCCCAAACGGCTCGCTCCGCCTCAACCTTGCTAGCGGCATACGCAACATACCATTCAGGTGCCGAGGCTGAGTTCTGTAGGATTGCAAGTGCCTTGTCGTTCCAGGTATTCGAGTCCACTATAACCGGCACTTCTGCTTCGGGAAAGACTGCTGCGGTTGAAGAGCTGGTGTACACGAAGCGCTTCACACTTGGCTCACTGTTGGCTGCTTTCAGAGCATTCAGGGCGCTAGCGATGGCGTCGGGTATCATGGTCCCGGTGCCGGAGTCGAGGCCTAGTGGTGAAGCGACATGAACTACCGCTGCAACGCCTTCAAGAACGTTAGTGCATGGCATGAGACCGTTTTTGCTAATTTCGCTTACCTCTTATCACCTTGTCAAAAGCATGAGGAGAAGTCAAATCAGCAACAGGCCAGAGTGAGAAGTTGTCTTTGCTGTATTGTTGGTGGAATAAATCTTTGATCCATGCAGCCTTGACAGTATCACGAGCTGTTCCTCGGACTCGGTATCCGCGCTGAAGGAATTCGTTGGCGACGTGGGAGCCGATGAAACCGTTTACACCAGTGACAAGAATGGTTGATCCCTTTGGGATAGCGAATAACGTATCAAGAATTGGTGCCATGTTTGATGAATAAGTTTTTGTTGCTCTAAAAACTGCGAGATTGATAGTTTGGAGAATTATTAGCCGTTTACGACGCTCTTTTATGGCATCTTGCGCGCAATTGACGGTTTTCCGAATAATGAGATCAACCAGTTTCGGGCTTCAGTGGATTGCCGAGACCAATTTTGGCGCTGGAATGGCGTGCTTACATCTCATCACCGTGAGCTTCACCCAATCATGCCCGGCGAGTGTTTCCTATTCGGGCTTGGTGTACGCCAGCTCCAGATCTCGGATATCCGATGCTTGTCCGCGTCGTACACAATTCACAATCATGATTGCAGACGTCAATGGTGAGGGTGGACTACATAATGTTTGACGATATGTGCAGTATCAATTCATAATCTATTTACATGAAACTGGACTATTGATGTTTGGACTGGCCCTCCTTCTGGGATGTTGTTGACTGATGACTGACCTGCCGCTTAAAGGGTAGTAGCAAAGCCCAACTCGTAAGCGAAGCCAAGGCAGATCTTGGAAAACTCAAGAACATGACCGAAGTTGACGGTGTCAATAGTATCGGTGGTGCCGTGGATATAGGGGCTGCTGTTGTCGAAAGTAGACTCGAAAGCCATGGCCGAGGGGAAACCCTGGCGGGTAGCGGAGGCATGGTCAGAGCACCCATATCCGCACTTGGAGTCAACAGTGGGGAGCTTGGAGTACTATTCACAGTTAGGCAACGCCATGGAAATTGGAGAACAAGACTTACAGCAGCGACAACCTTCTTGAGGAAGGTAGTAAGTCCAGCATCGACGTTGTCGGTGAGAATGCCAACGACTTCGGTGGTACCGGGTTTGACGTAGCCAGTCATGTCCTGGTTGAGCATGGCCTTGACCTGGCGGCCGTCTTGCTTGTACTTCTGGAAGATAGCACCACTTCCGAGAAGACCGCCCTCTTCACCGGCATACCAGTGGAACTCAATGGTGTTGGGGGCCTGACCGGTTGACACGCGAGAGTCGGTGAGGAGGACGCGGAAGGCCTCAAGAATGGTGACGGTTCCAGAGCCATCGTCGTCTATAAACATTAGTGACTACTCGTACAAGATGAAGGACAAGACGCACCGGCACCGGGAGACCTTCCAGTATCGGGGCTTCGGAGGTTGATAGAATCCTGGTGAGCACCAACGACAATAGTGGCATCACTCTTTCCAGTAATGGTAGCAATAATGCTAGGCTGACGGAACGAGTGAGTGAACTTCTCAACCTTGACGTTCTTAGCTCCGCTAGCAGTGATGATAGACTGAATCTGTCCAAACAGCCACTCAGCTGACTGTTGGCCGTAGGTGGACTTGTAGTATCTGTTCTGGAACTTGATGAACTCTGTCAGAGTGCTGCGCAGGTTTGTCTGGCTCAGCTTGGGAATGAGAGCATTGACGGCAGATGTCTGTGCAACGGCGCTGGGGAAACTGGCGAGGAACTGGAGGCTGAAGCCGGGCTCATCAAGGTCGGTGACATCGATGAAGGTTTTGTGTTCCTATGATGGTCAGACTCGGTGAGAGATTGTGCGAGGACATGAAACGTACAGCTCTCAGTGCCCACTTTTCCTTTTCGGTGACCATGCGGACATCGCCAGGTCCAAGCTCAATCTTGTAAAGAGGCTCAGCGCCCTTGCGGGGGTCGATGGCAGCGGCATTTGACAACCCGATAAGGGTCGCAAGAGCAAGAGTAGCACGCATAATGGCAGTAATCAAAGTCTATGATTTGAAGCTGTAGTGACTTGAGAGCTTGGCTAAACATCAACGTCGATCACGGAAATACCAACTTATATAGAAAACAGTGATCTTCCTCCGAAGGCTACGTTAGGAAGGAGCTGTAACACAGCCCATCAATCGTCACAACACTATTTGCTCCGTGACCTTTCGCGGCAGGAGATATATTACACCATACCGCCTATCACAGCTCATAAGTTCCGGTGCCTCAGATTAAGCATAACTGCGACGTGACCTTCCAGAATCAAACCTTATGCCGTTGACGCAAGGTCGCATTTGGACGGGCCGCATGTGCATCGGCATTGCTCTTTGTGGCAGGTCGCTAACGCTAGAGGGGGACTTTGTGAATTCTTGGCGCTGGAGCGGGGTTGTGACCTTGGCTGGTAGAGTATCTGAGCGGTAAGTGAGGGACGTGAGTGGTTGATAGGTTTAGACTTAATTGATATGGGGAGACCAAAGAGGAAGCTTAAATTCTATTGTTCCTCGTGTAGATTATAGCGCAGATGGTATCGAGTCGATACTCTCTATCGGGGCGTTTCTATATGTCCTTTTGCTGATTGACCGGCTTTTATGCTTTAAAATGGAACGCAGTCAGGTGGCATGACATCTGTAGAAATGACTGATGTCTGATCTGAAAAAGATTGGATTACTGATGAGCCTAGAATACTTATCTCTTAAACGCTGCTTATATGTAGCCTACCGCAGCAGTGCCTAAATTGGTTTATATCTGTATTTAGATAGGTTTGTACAAAGACACTAATTTATCCTAACGTTGATTTAAAGCTTTTAAGCTTAACAAAATAACAATTTTACTTTATTGAAGATAATATTTCTTATAATTACTCTAGAGAATATATAGGAATTACTAAGTATTGGAGATACTGAAGCCATGTAGAATAGAGACACAGGTCAGCCCCCGCCACATCGCACAACTTGCCTTTACTTGGTAAATGCAATTTGACATTGAGTATGGTAAGACAGTTATACCCAATCATAACTGCCCACGATTGTTTAGGCACCACTCAATACGATCAGGCACCAGCTTACCACAAACCCTCTTTCAAATAAGCTCAGATTAAGTATAAACTGTTGTTTTCTTACCGCAACTACATTATTATAAGTTGAATTTGTCACTGATCAAATATGTTTATGGAATTGAGCCGCCTCTGTTCGGCCTGCCAGCAGGCATTATGCCCTGACGTGCTGGAAGAAAGCTCCTTTAACAATGAGCGAGTTGGCTCTCATCATGCGACTTACGAATCATTCCTTAGCGCGATAGACAATGCGTGTGCCATTTGTACCACTATTGACAAGCGCTTACAACAAAGTGGCGCATCCATGGCCAGTGGAGCAGGAACAGGCTGCTTTCCTTCATCCTATGATTACAGACTCACAGGTGTAAGGGTGCTTTTCACGGTTTACTACGAGATACCAAATGATTGGGGGGGAATGAATAATTCGAGCTTGGTGGGTTTTCATTTGAGTCCACTAAGCGGTTCGTACTGCATCCTCTCAAGTCATGCTCTGTACTTATAATTGTTTCTCAGACTTAAGCAATCTCACAACAGGCCATTCGCTCCTCTCCTACGCAGAGTCTTGCACCTCATCATCACCTACCCTGGAACTTGCCATAAACTGGGTCAACAACTGTCGCACTTACCATCCAGAATGTCGAGAGCTTCAGAAAGAGGAGAAATGGTGGCCTACCAGACTTATCGATATCGGTGATGAAGGCGACGGGAAATGGAAGCTTGTGTCACTTCTTGAGAAGCCCCAACCACCACCGTCCTACATGACATTGAGCTATAGGTGGGGCTCGAAGAACAACTTTCGACTTCTCAAAAACAACCTGTACTCTTTCCAGAATGGGCTCCCCATCGCCGAACTTCCTCGCACGTTTCAAGACGCATGCTCGGTTGCATGGAGGTTTTCGGTGAAGTTCTTGTGGATTGATGCTCTCTGTATCATCCAGGATTGTAACGAAGACTGGTCTCGAGAGTCTGCAGCTATGCGACTTGTTTATGCCAACGCCTTTTGTAATCTTGCTGCCGTTGCGTCAACTGACCCTCATGGGGGGCTTTTTCGTAGTCGAAACACTGAGGATCTGAAACCATCAATTGTCCGTGCCGCCTTGGATAAGTCAACACCCCCAAAAGATTACTATGCCGTTGATTCCGACTACACAAACCGCCAATTGCTTGATAAAGAACTTCTGAAGCGAGGCTGGGTTTTTCAAGAGCGACTTCTCAGTCCTCGAGTTTTATATTTCGCCGACAAGCAAGTCTTCTGGGAATGCTTCACTGAGCAGAGGTGCGAGACATTCCCGCACGGTATACCCCCTCTTGGCCGATCGAAGTCCCAATGCCTATCAGTAATCACCGGCCCTGGCAAGATAGCGCTGGCAGTAGACAAAAGACCTGCAGTGGAAATCGCGAGAAAATGGGAAGAGTTAGTACAGGACTATACGGATTGCGAGCTTACGAAGGCTAGTGACAGACTTCATGCAATAGAAGGGGTAGCCGACTTGTTTCGGAAAGCTTTTCACGACACGTATACTTTCGGTCTGTGGAAAGCGGAGCTTTCGCGCCAGCTTGGCTTCTATGTGAAATCTCCTCGCAAAGACTTATCATCGCATTATGTAGCGCCATCATGGTCCTGGGCATCTCTGCAATCCCCTGTCGAGTTTGAGCCACATTCGTGTTGGCCGGATACAACAGTACATGTATCAGTATTAGACCTTAATCGAATCGAGGGAACTTTGACACTAAGGGGACATCTGTTTACCGCCAAGATCGACAAGGAATCGAGATACAACCTGGTCTCTGACTACGCTCGGATCCATGCACAAATATATCCAGACCGGATAGGCGAACAAGTCAATATGCCCGAAATCATCACTCTACTTCCACTGATATCCCATTGGAGTTTAAGTGGCCCGATGACAGGACTTGGTTGTCTGGTCTTGGAGCCAATCCTCGTCACAGTGTCTCGATACTATCGACGGATCGCGTACATAAAGTTCGCGCAAGGACAAGACCTAGCGTTTTTTGGCATGACTGTCTTGGCAGATGGGTCCGCAAAGATTGGCAAAATGGCTCCTTCAATTATCAGCTTGATGTAGGTACCAAGCGGAACGTCTAGGATAAGATGAGACGACGAAGGCGTTTGACGTGTTGTCTTTAGAAGATGAGATTATAGCTCAGATACTATTATGACAATATGCGTTTTTGGGCCTTGCTTAATACGTGGTCTTTTACGCTAATTTTGACAAAATTGCTACTTCGAGCAGGACGCAATGTGACAAAAGATCTCTAGGCCTGTAAGAATCACTAGATTAGAATGATCATCTGTTAGCCTCGCTTTACACATAGTCTGCTGACCTAACATACAGTTACTCTCATTGTCTATTTGCGATGGCTATACTTCAAGCGACAGTAATCTTGCCTACTCTGCTTGCGACAATTCTTAGGCTACCGTACACAGTATCAATAAAAATCATGTACTTGCTCACATGCTGGGATCGCGCTCTGTGTTAAGATTACAGTCATCGAAGAAGCCGTATTCATCTAATACATCCGTCACGATCTCGGTTGATAGTGTAGCTTAGATAGTCCACATAGCCCTCACTATGTAGGAACTTCGATAGAAGCTAGCTAAACTGGGATCAAAATGAATGCGCTAGAAAATAACTACCATAACATGCATATCATGAGGTTCGCTCTATCACCAAGGATCTACATGGAATATCCTGTCTTTTCCACTGCTGTCTTATAAGCGTTCCTTTCCTTCATATTCGCCAACCATTTACTGATAAGCGGCCAATCCTGGCTCTCCGTCCCCAGCTTCATGGCAAAAATGCACTCGATGCTAAAGCCCATCATGATATCTGCAGCAGTAAAATCCGTCCCGACAATAAACTGGCCCTGGCTAGAACCTTATTCGAGTTCTGTTTCCAGCCATGCATTGCGCCGCGCACCATGGGCGCAATCGCAGCTTATAGCCCCGGGACATATTGCGCGGTCTCTTTTGGCATACCTAAACGGGCCATGATGATCTATTAAGGTCAACGAACAGTCGCAAAACAGTGCAATCCTAATGAAAGTATTCAATTAAGCACCCGAAACAAGAAAACTAACCGGAACAGCATTAATCATGAAGGTCCCCTCCGAAGCTTGAATCCACTCCCTGACTTTTGCTCTTGCATGTGCTTCCTCAGGCAATAGCCGTGATGTAGGGTCGTACGATTCAATCAGATACCTACCATAATTAGCGTACATAATCGCCATACTTCCAAAGCAGACAGTAAAAGCACTCACTCCAAGATAGCACCGCTTTCCTGGATTACCAGATCCCCATCCTGAATAGTCGGACTTGTTCCAAGGCGGCCCGGAATCTTGGCTTTGAACTCTAGCCGCGCTAGACCGTTGGCTGCCTTTGGCGAGGTGACCAGTGTATAAGAAATATCAAGCTCTTCCAAAAGCCAGGCGATTCGGATCGCTCGGCTTGCATTGAGAAAGTAAAGAGTGATATCGGGCTTTCCGGAAGACATGATCAAATGGATGAAGGTTTCTGAATCTTGAATAATTAGTAAGTCAAGGTATCTATAATAGAGTTAAGAGTCAAGAGGGAGTGTGTGAGAACATTTGGGAGGAAGAGAATATATATATGTATCTGGTGATTCGGCTAGCCGCAAGACTATTTACATAAGGAGTTCGAAATACCTGGCGTCAATCGGGACTTACGCCTGATCTCCGCAGATTGCGGACTAAACGACAGATGCGGCAGTATCCTAAAGTAATTAACAAGTATACCAGTGGATGACCAATGTTAAATGGTTGTATCGTTGTTCAGCTAATTTGTTGGCTGTTATGACGTATGTCTACTGGAGTCGGTGTATCAGGCATCCAGAGCCGGTTTAATTCCCAGCGTAAATTGGGATTTGGCCCCATCCAATTGTAATGGATACTTTGTACTGTATGCTGCAGTGTAATGTTTTAACGACAGATAAGTTTGTCATTTACAGCCGCTTTCTCCGCTTAACAAACGTCGCAACACCCATCTTATATACTATAGCTATCGAGGCGTACGGCTCCCAATCCCAATCTGATCAAAAGTAACGACTAGATCAAAGAATAACGTACTTTGGGTAATCCCGACCATTGTATCGCATGTTACTGGCAGCCTTGATACAACATGGTATACACTCCCTCTGGCGCAATATGGGCGCATTCATCCATTCTCTGTTTACCAAAAGTCCAATGCATCTCGCCAAACGATTGCCCGTAAGTCTTCGGAGATAAATCCTTGGTTGGAGATTCACAGGCATGCAACCCTCCCCGTCCACGATAGATATAGGAGAAGAGATTTGAGCCATTTGCGCGCAATGGAGATGACTGCACTCAACTAGCCCTGAGTTCATGATGATTTCCTTGAGCATGGTGTAGGCACCAACACGGCAAGCTCCAACGGAGCTGATGAAGTGAATATCAACAAGCAAGCCACCAGTAGACTCTTCGATTAAGAGTTTGGTTTCCAGATCCGAGCTTCCTGTGTCCATAGAAAGTGCGGGGAGGGATATGTTGCTACCTAAGGTGTCCGTCACGCTAGCTTGGTAATTGACTCTGTACTGAGCGGTAGTAAAGAGTGAATCGTTCTCTTTCCAGTCAAGCCCTAGAAGTCCATCAGACGTCCTGCCCGTTTTGTCGGCAATGAACCTGTAATGCCGTCCGGCTTTCGTCTGAATAACGCCAGGTACAACATGTAGTCTCATTGACTCTTCCGGTAAATCTGATACATTTCGCAATATGTCAAAATAGAAGCATACCCCTCCAATAGAAGCAGCAGTAAATGCCTTTTGTGTTTGGAGGGGATACAGTTGGTTGGTAAACAGAAATTGCGCAGTATGATATACTGAATCGAGGCCGAGACGTCGTACAAAATCGACCATATTTCCCCAGTAAGCTTCGCGATGGGCATTGCCTCCATCCCAACGTCCAAAACTTCGATAACTCATAGCCTCTCCGCAGTGAAGTTGGTAAATGAATCTTAAGCCAGAGTGATAGGGCTTGAGATCGGCATGGACTTGAAGAGCAGAAACGTTCCATATAAGGAATATAATGGTCTCGGCAAGTACAGGAAGGCAGTAACCTCTCTTGGATCTTGAGTGGTCTCCGGAACAGTAATGACATTGGCAAGATTTCGCCAACTCTTTCGAGGCTTGAGTATACTTCCCAACAGCACCATCAACAGACATGTCGGCTTCCAGATCAATGTTCGGGCGCAGGGGTGAAAGTTCAGGGAACCATGAAGCAGTAGAATGCCAAAATCCATGTCCGTACTGACCTGGTTGGAAGCCAAACCAAGAGGCCCGGTCACTAGACCCAAAGATACTGCTGGTATCCGAAACGGTCAAGCCTCGAAAGACCCGCGCGGAAGCGCCTATTAGCTGTCCAAATTCTTGCCTGGCACCCAGCAGGTCCCTGAAAGAGTCACCGAACGTTGTCGAAAGACAACTGTCCCACTGGACGGTCCCAGATATAACAGAATCAAATCGCTGCTCATAGGAAATGACGCGATCAAGGGAGTTTATGAAGTATGCGGTGCTATTGATCTGGACCTGCTTGGACTGTGCCGCTTCGTATATGACCAGCAGACGGATTGAGTCATAGTTGGTTGTGGACTTGTAAATCGTAGCATTGTCGGCACTTCGAATTTCGACCTCCAAACCGAGGAAGTAGAAGCCAATAGCAGCGATCCATCCGCAAGAGCGACCACCCGTAAGTGTTACCGAACTCAGCACACCCGAGGAAACACGGGCGACAGCGAGCAAGGCTTTAGCGACATCTTCAGCCTCGTCTGCGTAAGTCTCGCTCACGTGATGACGATGGAATGCCATGAACTGCTCCGCGATGCATGCAAAGGTCGTCGACCTCAGAGTTCCGGAACAGGCTTCTACCAGATTAATCCATTGACTAGCAGAAGGTCGGAGATCATCCGGGGCGTCGCAAGCATCGGCCAATCTGATCAGTATCTCGGCGCAGGCCTTTGGAGTATGGATTTCAGAAAGACACGCACAAAGCGTCAGGCATGTGAGCCCTTTGTGGGTCTCTGCCAGGACTCGGACTATGTGCTTGATGCCGAATCCAAACCAGATGGCGTCTCCGATAGCAGAAAAGCTCTTCAGTTCGCCAAGTGCCTTGATGAGACGTTCATGTCCGGTGGCAGACAATCGGAAAAGGGACGACATTTCCTGACCCATGACGATCGTGAGGGGAGAAATATCGGCGGCTGTAACGCGTGCGAGAATAGAGATGGGCACGGAAACGGACATTCTGGCGATTTGAACCCAGTCAATAGAGCCTTGCTGCTCAAACGGGCCCCCGGCGACAACCGCAGACGAAAGGGTGAGAGTATTTGCCATAGTCGATATTTGTCCAATATTGAAGCAGACGGAGTTTGTCAAACCTTTCTTACAGGTATTGTACTACTGCTACTGACAGGTCGAGTTGGCACTGAAGTTAAGTTGGCTTGGTGTAATCAGAAATGGACATGACATCATCAGAATGACACGACCGTGGTAGCAACAAAGAATTATGAATTGGAAATGTATTTTCAACCTGTTCTATGACATGGCAAGTTCTGATTGGTTTAGATTTGAATTATGCCGTTACACATCATCACCTGGTAAGCACTAATACGAGTGTAATTCCTATCATAGGTCACTGCAGAGAAGATGGAGAGAATACCAGGACGCCTTGCATGCGGCTGAGCGTCTGGCTGCCTAACACTCTCACCCCGCTTTTTGAAACCTATCATTGCCTTATGGACCGCAGCTTTCTTCCGACCTTTCATGCAGGGTTGAGAAAGTGTTGTTAACACGAGTTCCATCTGGCGTTAATCAAATATGTAGTCATTTTGGGCCACAGTTATCGGTTCTAGCGATTGCAGAATGGGCTATGCGATTTACTTAAGCTGTGACTTGAACGACCGAGGCTAGCTATGATATACAGCCCGGTAACTAGAAAACTTCCATCCACCCAAAGCACTCCTTTGTACAGTCACGCGCGGTCCGTCACCCCCATTTCTCTCTTGGAACATATGATCTACCTTTTCCACTGCAACCTCCCCTTTATCTGCCTCGAAATGCGCCGCAACGAGCGCAGTAATGCCGAGTCTCGCTTGTACGTCTCCAACATCACTGCTTGAGGCCAAAAATGCTCGAACTGTAAGAAATAGTCCAAGTATCACAAGCAGCAAGTTGGCAACCAGTAGACATGCAAGGGGTCCTTTGGGAATCTTAGCTACCAGCTTTGAGGATCGTGACTGAGCCTCTTCGGCTGGCGCAGAGAGTAAAGCTCCTCCGATTGCACCCATGACGGTTCGACTGTACGTTTCCGCAAATTTGTCGGCTACCTCTTGTGCCGTGTCGCTCTGCCAGACGTCAAGACTTGTTTGTTGGAGGACATAGGAATCGCCGACGTGAGTATATCCTTGCGTCCCCATCACGATATTGGTAGTAGATGCATTGCTCGGCGAGTATGAAAAAGATTTGACGGATCCGTTTATCGAAGTGTATCGCCAGTCAAGGACTTTGGTACTACAAAGTAATGCGAAAAGAGTTGATCCGTGGAGACCGCTTGCTATGTCAGGATCGTCTAGCAGACCTCTGTTGGGATTGCGGCCTAAATTCTGATTGACGCTAACAATGGCGGTAAAATAGTATGGATTTGGCAGCGACACCAGGGATGAAGAGTTCTTTTTCATTGATGAATCGGTGAAGTAAGTGAGGACCATTGAATTTACCAGAGTGGTCGGTATAACTCCCTGGACCGGGCCAAAGTCGCAATTATAGCTGGCCTGAGGACCGATAATGCCGTCTTCACTAATGCAATGCTTTGTGACAACCTGGCATTGGGAGGAAGCCCCGAAAGATGAAGCTGTGTAGTCTAGGTTGGCATTTTGATTGGTTTGTCGAAGACCAACGAAAGCGTAGCTTTTGCCTGTAGAGTCAGCGACCTGCTGCACCATATTCGTACTGGAGACGTTGGCAAGAAGCTCGAGTGATGGTTCGCTATTGATCAGAAAGGTATTTGCTGCCGCACTGTTGAGAGTACAGCCGCCTTCGAAGGTAGTGTTGATGTTTGTGCAGTTCTCGTTGAACATGAAGCTACCGCTGCCGAATGTTGTGGGCGAAAACTGGGTGAGAAGAACTGTCTTGGTCACAAAATGCAACCATGTATCCGTCGCAAATACCAACATGCTTGACTGGCTCAGTCTCATTCATAACCGGTATAGTATTGGCTACTTACCTGAGAAGCGAGGCCAGGGCTAGCATCCAGGTCATGAATGTCAATGGCTGTGTCATTGGTGCCCTCTTCCTTTTGGAGGTAAACAAATAGGTTATGCAACTCCATAAGGCGCTTAAAGAGGCATTGCTCATGATGCGAAGAATGAGGGCATACTGCCGTGGAGTCGGCTGTCGGGTTCGATCGCCGCTCTGACTGGCCTGAATCAATGTCCTAGACACGGGGAATGAGACCAGAGTCAGAAGAAAAGGCAGAATGAGTGGCGCCATAGTGCTAGACCATGACGCGACGATTATCAGGGTGGTAGCAGGGAAGTCAACATAAATGACATTAGAATCTGCAGATGCTGCAGATTGGAAGCTGGGAGAGTTGGGATTTTTTGGGATGACTTGGTAGTGAAAGACCAGGCCGAGAAGTAAAGCAGAGAAGGCAATGAGAGGAATAGACGATATTATGCATGCGAGCCAAATTTCCCTGACGACCCCACGGATTCGGGCGGTGGGATTTGGAACCTCAGTGGTAGGCGTAGGTATTGTTGGTTGGTATGTATAATGAGGTTCAGGCTCTTGGCCATAGTGATTAGAGGACTTCATGATTTCAGGTAGTGCGGTGAAGCGCAGAAGCAACCTTGAAATTGATTGTGGATGAAGGCTTGCCTTTATTTGTCTTGCAATATCATCTTGAGAGAATTGGGTGGTGTCCTCGTATTTCTTTTTCCTTCTTTCGACTGAGTCTGGATTGTGAAATGGCTTCAGTGGCTGTCGATAGTCTCGCAGCCTGCTTGCAGCCTTGCCAGGGTTGAAAATCGAGAATTGGTCGCTGTGAGACAATAAATTGGCGAGGCTTGATGCTACCCTCCAATAGAAACTAGTGCAAATGGTCTGCTGTACTCCTTAGTGTCATTGGATGGGCAGTCAGCCCAGACAATGCGCACAGAGCCCTCATGATCAGATATTGGTTAAAGGTGGGTGACATTGACATCCTCCCCCCAGGCCTGAGCGAGAATTAAGCAAACAAACGTGGTCATTCAACACCTCTTCACTCTCGGCTCCCACTGTAGAACAACAATAGTATCTATATTTGCGTGACTCGCAAACTAGCTTGGTACAGCCTAGAGATTCTTTATTTGATTTATGCATTTATGTTAAATTCGCGGGCATAAGCTTACCGGTCAGTCGTAGCTGAATGCAAGGGTTGACAGAGCTGAATCAGGGATTGAGCAGTGGACAAATCATGAGCCTTCTTTTGTAGCAAGACTAGCCATTATCAGTAAGACTGGCATGTGCCGTCCGCCACCAGAACCTCAGAGGGTGAAATTTACTGGACAAGTGCTGGCTGGACGAACAGGTCACTTACAGCGGCGGCCGATGTGGCCCTTCTATCACCGGGTCGTAGGACTAGATCTATGTCTTTCGTAAAGGTTGTCAATTGCTTTGAGTATTATACCTTAGCGGCCAACTGATCGCTTGGTAACATATAGTAGAAAAAGAGTACTATCACGCCTATTATAATTAATAGAAGTCTGAGAATATTCATCTGTAGAGCGGTAGAAATTATATGTTGGCGGCAGGGGCTTTATACCCACTGCCAAAGTGTCTAGTTTATAGATAAAAACAGCAGATTGATATGTCAGTTCATAATGCTCTAGGACCTAGATGACTTTTCTGTGTCCCCCACACCAATCTTACTTTTTCCCGGCAAACTAATAAAATCACCTCGAGGAATGGAACCACGGACAACGTTTGCATGATGGTTGATAGGTTGACCGACTTGAGGATTACTAAATAATGTTAGTAACAAGATGTATTTAGACCGTGATGCAACTGACCCGTTGTATTGCAAACTGCAGACCAGATCGCCTTGCGCGTTCATGAGGGGGTCCTTGAAGAAGAAAACACCGGATGCCGGAAGCGTGAACCTTTCCTGTCCCTGTAGGCAGTTACGAATAGAGTTGATATACCACTCGAAGTTTCTGCCAGCGGCCTCGTAACCTTTCTCGAAGCCCTGCCTGAAGTTTGCTAGAAACTCATAGTTTCCCCGGAAGGATGTGGTGGGTTGTTCAATGTCCACCTGGAATTGCAAGCCGCCATCCGTGACCTCTTGCATCTGGAATTTAACGGCCCATTTGGTTTCAGCTATAATACTGGAGATGGGGTGCTTGATTAGCGTCCAAACTTAGAGCTTTATATAAGTACCAAGTTCTTTGTGGTGATATACAGTCTCAGACAAGTCTCCGAGCTGGTTCTGTATATCGTCAAAGAGAACTGGGTTTTTTTCATCACCTGTAACAGACTTACTTCTTTTTGATATTTGGGTCGACTGAGCTAGGGTCGATTGTAAACTCAAATCTGGTCCATTGACGGCCTTCGTATACAATAGTGTTGGAGCCGGCAGTTGTGTAGGCTCTAGCGAGAGTCATTGCTGAATTATCCGTTAGTGGTTACAGATGGACAAACGGAGAGTCGGCTACCTACTATCTCCACTCATCCAAATCTCCACTGTTCCCTTGTGGGTGTAGTCACGAAGTGAAGAATCACGCCATTGCGTGTCCTGGTGTCTCCAGACCTTGGAGCCCTCCGCAGGTGCACCTGTATAGGCATCAAAGAAATCTTTGGCAGTTTGGGGCCAGTCTTTCCCGACGGAGAATTCTCGCTGTTTTAAAGCATATGTGGTCGAATCCTTGCTGGCGTCTTCGTGCCCGACGAAATATGTAGCAGTAACTTCCCAGTCGTAAGTGAAAAAGTGGTCATCTGCCCAGCATGTGACTTGGTCTATGTTCATAGACATGATGCGATTGATGGCTGACAGCTTTTGATTGACGAAGGATTCCATGAAATTTGCGGAAGACAGGATAAAGGTCCCGAACTTGGATGGCGAGTCTGTCCCAGGCTTTCGGCCGTCTGTCCAGTTACCCATACGTGTATCAAGTACCGCACCTCGCTCCGAGTCCGGGGGCGGTGTGTTTTGCCCTACAGTCTCAAGATAGAGCAAGTAGTTCAACCGGCCGTTACCGTTGAGACCTGGTGGAGCACTGGTTTTGGTCTCGGGATCTGTCCAGGGATAGGTCATGTAACGGACATTGTTTACTTCGAACGTGGCACGCTGGCTAGCTAGCTGGAGTATTAGTCACTGCCTGTTGTTCAGTATGGTAACAAAAGGACAAGGGTCTTACCCTTGGGGGCGATCACTGCGAAGCCCATCGATAGCAAGTTCGAATGCATCAAATTACGTGAAATCTTCCCGAAACAAAACTCCAGAGTCCTTTGAAAGTCAGGGTGCAGGTCAGTATAGCTTCGAGAGGTCCCAAGCTTCCATCCAGGTGGGCGGTGTTGCTTGCCATCCTGGTCTATCATCCAGTCATTCTCCCCCCACTCACCGAACTCCCAAGACCCATCTCCCCAAGCCATGCTCTCCAGATCCAACAAGAACTCCATTATAGAATGGTCAGGCTTTCCCTTTGCGGCACTGCGATCAAGAACTGCCTTGCCGCGAGGTGTCGTTTTGTCCAACGCCACGAACCCTGATGATCAGCGACTTAACAGCAGTTGATGGACATCTCTTGGACCTACCAACGTCAATTGGAACTGTGACGTGCCAATCTTCGATTTCAAGAAGCAGCTTTTCGGTGATAGGCTCACCCGTGTCGTCATCCATCTTGATAAAACGCCTGATCTGTGCTTTACCCGACTTCATCCACATACGAAACTTGACAGAACGAACATTGGAGTAGTCTGGCTGAACAATGACACAAGGCTCGCCAAAGATGACATTCTTGACCCAATTATTTTCGTCGGCATACGCGTTACCAGGCTTTGGCTTAACAGCACCATCGATCTCATTACCATCTTCAAGCAGTCTATATAGATTGCTGATACCTTCATTGATCATGTGCTGCGTCCTGTTGAGATTGTTAGTTCATTGTGCAGATTTTGATATCCTATGACCTCAAGCAACATACAAAGCAAGTACTTGGTCGTAAGGTTCAATCTATGAAATGAATCGCGTCAGTACAGGTTATAATGAAGCGGAGCCCATAAGACCTTTATTTTCCAGATCTGATCACCCATTGCAGCGGGAAATGCGCTCCGTAAAAGGCGTAAGAAGGGTGGTCGTATGGTATAACTAGTTGGCAATTCGATATGGGCGAATCTTGTTCAACAAAAGATTATGTTAGGATCTCATATCCAACCGGATATAGGATATGATAACTAAATAACGGGGTAAATGGAGGAGAAAGGTGCAGGGAATGTACCAAGATGAGACAGGTAGTGTTTGATTCATGGGTGAACGAGCTTGGCTTATTTGTCTCTGCATCAGCACATGGGATACTTAACAAAAGTATATCCGTAGAATCATGAGTGTCATTCGCTCGCACACTATACGAATACCGTCACATGTAACATTTACAAGACTGAGAGGATGCCACAGCTGGGCTACATGGATTCATCAAGCACATTCTGTAGGTCAGTACAGGAAATGTGAGACATGACTAGATATGATATGTATACTAACTCCCTTTAAACAGAAAGATCTGCATTGCTTCAGCTAAGCCACAGAACGGGCCGCGCCTAGAACAAGCGGGGTATCGTCGATACAAGGAGGCTTCTCTACTTTCAATTGGTAGATATACGCCATCTTGCAGCAATGACGCCAATCTCTTCAGACCAACAGATATCTCAGTCTGGCCTCAAGTGCTGTCACGGCTGTATCGGGAAATGAGAACAGCGGTGAAGAAAAATTGAGGCCAGCTGTGAGAGTTCCCGTGCTGTAGGATTACGCATTTGGAAGTATGTGCCTTTTCAGCTTTGGTTACAGAGACGATCGGTACTCAATCTAGATTTCGATGAAGTCATTGAGGGACATACTGGTGCCAATGAAATGTCTCAAATTGTGACAATGCCTTGATATCGGACTTTATATGTGCGACTCGCTTGAGAGACACATCCTTCCCAGCTGTGCAGGGATCAAAGTCAATGAAGACGCTCAACGATCGACAGAAAACCTGGCCCATGTTGTACACCCCTTCCCCGAGAGGTATCGGCCTGCTTTTGACGGCTACCCTTCGAACAATGTAGCCAGTGGTTAAATAATCACTTCTTTACAGATTACTACTGATATCACATAACTCGCCATTTCTCTATTGATCCTGGTATTGCCGATTTCTTACGCATATCATCTCTATCTTGCAAGCATGGCTACCATTAAGATCGACTCAGAGTTGATGACCAATTACGTGTCTACCGTTCCCGTCCCCGCTGGTAGCCATCACGTTACTGTTCTCGATCACAAACGGATGCCAATGGTCTTTTGTCTTAGTAATGATCGGCCGTCACCTCGGCTCCAGATACGTAAGAGACCTATCTTTTGAGGGGCAATTCCATTCAAGATTATCTTACAAGATCAGTGCGTCGAGACGCAGAAGGCCACTCGCAGCTGTTTGATATACACGCTCTAATCGGCTTGCCGAAGGATGCTTACGTTCAAATATTCCATGTAGAGCAGTCTTGGGACTTGAGACTCCACCTTGCTGTTGCATACGGAGACGGAAAGGGGTCGAAGTCGTATCTTCATCTCATGAAGCCTTTCGCGCCGGAGTTGCTGCGACAAAGTGATGATGCACTGCCTCATATACCTGGAGAGGCTCAATTCGGGACTATACAAAAGATTCTCATGGTCTGTAAGACTCTTGCTCCTCGCTCATAGCTACTTACCCATGCGGAGTAGGCACCATTCTCCGGAACCAACAGCAATGTGATATACCCGGACATCTTCCTCATCCATCAGGAGCCAGATCAAACTATTTCGTGGGGAAAGGATATCTGGCATATCCAGGTTCAGCCAAGGTTCAGAAGCTGGTCTGCTTCCAAAGAGCTCGATACTCCGGAAAACGTGTCTGAGATATTGGACATTGCGCCTGCTTCGAGCTCATACGGCCAGGGGCTCTATGTTCTGTATATTACACAAGGGAAAACAAAACTCTATGCTCGATACATTAGACCCGATCCCAATGCCACTGATGGCACCCAGTTCACCTTCACGACCCCTGTCAGTTGTCCTGAAGGTATGTAACTGATTGGCAGTTCTAATGATGCTTCCTATCAATGCTTACCTTGCTCAGGCGCGCGATGTATTGCGTCGCTGTCGAATAACAAGGGATATAGTGGTCTTTTGATTGCCGCGTCCGACGGTATTAGATATCTAACAGTCAGCGATGCCACTTCCAGGGACAGGCCAGGAAAGCTCATCTTCACCGACGAAATACTACAGAACCTCAGACAGCTTCATTTGTGTCAAGATCAGAACGACGTAGCTATCTGGTTTCGGAACAACAAAGGCGAGCTGGGGTACATCCGTACTAAGGCTGATAGTGTGGCAGAAGCCTCAACTTGTTCCCTTCTATTATCCCCCGGCTTGTCCAGTTCCTTCTCAGCGGCCATTACCGCACCGCATAGTTATACTGGCCAGGCAGTCCGACAGATGGTGGTTTCCAACGATCGATCCGGGAATCTCATGCTGATTGAACAAACGGCTGACATTGGACTCTGGCGAAAGACGCCATTTTACCAACCCTCGTCGAACGAACCCACGCCTCTGAAGAGCTACACAATAACTATGAAGGCCAAGGACGACAAAGGCAATAGTTTATCTTCAGGGAGCATCCGTGTCTCGGCATCCTCATCGATCAGCATACTCCTCAACGGGCGGAATCTTCTCCTTACCACTGTACCAATGTGGTTGGATTGCGATCCGGCGGGCAATCTCGACTTCATTGTTCCAAGTGATAGTCTTGGCTCACAGAAGCTGATTATTGATCAAGTAAGAGGTGAGCAAGGCAAGATCTTGCCATTCACACGAACGGAGTATGATGCCTCGGCGAAACCCATGCAGCTTCTAGGTCAGAAGCTTGAATGGATCAAGTCTTTGGACCAGTTCAAGAACCTCAAAACACAGTCTGGAGAAGACTTGTTTGAAGAGGATGTGAAGAGCGATGAGGCCCTGATGAAAAATGCCCATGGCTGTCTTCAGAGTCTCTTGGGGGTCTACAGTTCAATGCAGTCACATAATTCCTCATTGTCTGCGCAGTCAGATCCGAAAATCGCAGCAGACTCGGACATGGTAGCCAGCGATCAAGTCTCGACACAGAGTTCCGGCAGCGCGTTCATGGATGCGTTCTACTGGCTAAGGGAGAAATTCAATGAGGTCAAAGAATGGGTCATTGAAAAAGCAGGTAATGAAAATCATAGTCCAGTACTCCGGTTTAACTCGTTACTAATGCACTTTGCAGGTAAGGTCTGGATGTTTGTTTGCAAGATTACAGGGGAAGTTAAGAAACTTGTCCTTGACTGTGTCGAGAAGATCTGCGAAGTCGCTACATGGGTATGTTGATGAGGTCCCCTCTATAACACTGCCAGCATTAACAGACTCTTATAGATCTGGAAAAAGGTCAAGGTAGGATGGCAGAAACTAGTAGATTTTATCGGGTTCATGTTCAACTGGCGCGACATCTTGGCCACTAAAAATACCATCTCGAGCACCATCACAGCCGGCTTAGGCTATGCCGCAACTAAGATAGACGGCCTACAGACCAAGGTGGACGGCTTCCTCACATCGCTAGAGCGCACAGTGGACCAGTTTGGCTCTAGCATCACATTGGATAAGAAACTTGGCGGAGAAAACATGCCCAGTGACCAGAAGGTATCAGACGCGCAGTCGTCCACTGCAACTACGTGGGCTTCAGAGCGACTGAGAAACGGGGGTGCTAGCACAAGTACCAAAGCAGACTTTCAAGGTGACCTAAAGAATACATCGCTCTTTTTAGACTTGACTTCTAATCAGTTACCAGGGAGCACAAAGTCGGATGAGGCTACCAAGTTCTGGGAGTCTTTCATGGCGCCCGAGATCGCCAAGCTCGGCGCTGCCATGAGCCAACTCGGTCAGGACATAACTATGCTGTTCATGAAGAACGGTTCAATCAACGGTGACGACATCATCAAGGTTTCCAAGAGCATTGTCAAGGCAGGAATCGCATCCGTAAGGGCCATAGTCATAGGCCTATTAAAACTCGTCAAGGTCTTCGTTCAGAAGCTTTCCGAACTAGGCAATGCCGAGATAAACATCCCTATTTTCTCTTGGCTCTACAAGAAAATAAGTGGTGGTCATGCATTGACGCTTTTCGACGCAGTCTCCCTGATCATTGCTATCCCAACAACTATCTTCGCAAAACTCATAACTGGAAAAGCCCCGCCGACTTTCGCCACGATGGATGCCAGCCTCATCAGGGGCCTTATTGAGGGGAATGGTGTTCCTTACAGCACGAAAACTGACTGGACAATCTTCTGCGGCGAGGTTGTTGTTGGCATCACGTTGACGTCAGGCGCTGTTAGTCTAATCAAGCTACTCTACAAAACTGCTACTCAGGGACTGGACGATGTCCTGGACGAGTTGGATGAAGGACCTTCGTCTCTCTTTGACGTCTTTGGTATTGTTGTTGATATCATAGGGTCGTTGATGGCAATACCTGAACAGAATGATATGCCCGGGGCTGCGTACCGAAATGCAGTAAGTACCTTTGAGTTAGTATCGGCGAAACCAGACTCCTAATCATGCAATCCAGATAAGCGCTATATCCTGCTTCCGAGGCTTTTACCATACATTTGCCTTCTTCGTCAAAGGAAAAGGCTCGGTGGAGAAGGTTGTCCTGGTTCTGGATCTCTTGACAGTCTTTGCCAATCTCGGCCTCTCCATTGCTGTTGGCGTTGAGGAAACAAAGGCGGCGGATTCATGGGAGGATTATGATAAAGATGCAACGGAAACAGGATTCATAACCTCGGGGCTCAACACATTGGCGGGCGTTGCTTACTTCACTGCGTTTTTCTTCAAAACGAACCCGGGGATCTCGTCTGCAAGCGCAGCTGTGATGGTCGGGACGGTGGCGGCGGGAGCTGCGCTTGAGGGTATGGTCTTCAAGTTGCAATACGACAAAAGTAGAAAGATAGCACTACCTAGCCCGCCTCCATTTTAAGTGCTAGTAGTCTCGGAGTACTGATCTTGTGTAAATCATCACCTATAGATCCGGAGACGATATTCCTTCTCGAGCGTTCTCTTTTCTTGCTCAGGCTAGGTGCAGCAGTAAAAATAGGTTACATTCTCTTTTCCCCTACTGTCAGCCTTATATGGGACCATTAAGCCTTTAATCCTTAAGATAGAGGCCTAAAAATCAAGGCCCCTATAGTAAGCCAGTATGATAGGAGTCAATATTAGAGAAGGTTTATCTACCTTGCGTGTGATAACACTTTCCCCATCCCTCAAAGCTAGTATATGAAATACATGATCTTGCAGGCATTCGAAAATGATCCAGGCAAGCAAGTTGAGGCTAAATAATCATTGAACATGTCTTTATTCCTTTGGGCAAATGGTTGCAGCTATTTACTCCTACAGAGCCTTACCATTGGTGACTACCTCACAGTCATTCAATCTCTGCATGCCATCGACAAAGGTCAGCCCAGCAGCCTTAGCCCACCTAGGGTCGATAGCCCCGAGATGAATATGCGGCGTGTCATCCATCTCGTGATCGAACGTCTCCTTGACAAGCCCGTCGCCAAGATACAAGAATCGGTTTGCGCTCTTCTTCCCACTGGCAGCATACTTGATATCATAGTCCTCCCAACGGACTTTTCTCAAGGCTCTGACAAACTGCAGTGTTATACCAGGCCAAATGACATTCACTCGGCCTTTCAACGGGCCAGTCTGTGTCTTGTACCAAGCTGGGCAGTCCCATGACCAAGCGCAGCCTTTCAACCATGTCTGAGCATGTTCCACGAAGTCGTCCATAGCTTCTTGCTTGGGCACCACGCTGATGATGTTGTGCTCCATCTGCAGCTTCTGGATGACTTGGACTACGTAGTTGGCCACTGCGTCCATGGGTCCGATGAGAGATCCGTTGGCAGAGGGCCAGTAGGCGCCAGTGCTACCGTGGAAGTAATTCGGGAATTGCGCTAAAGCGACCGACATGTAACTGTCCGGGCTCTGTTTAAGGAACTTAGATATAAGGAGACCGTTTGGCCCGATGACCTCAAATCGTGGAATGAGGTCGACATTGAAACCTGGTTTTGGTCAGCATGTCTATAAACGATCTTCTTGGAGTAGACCTACCAGTTGCACAGACTACGGCGTCAACCTTCCGTTCGACGCCATCTGTATCGATGACGCCGTCTTCCGTCAGCTTTGCCACGGCTTTGAAGACGACCTCGACGTTTGGCTCTTGGACTGCATTTATAAAAGGGTCACCTGGAGTGATGCGACGGCATCCGGGAACAAATTCAGGAGTAAACCCTGAAGCAGATTAGTATGTAGCTGAATCAAATGTTCCTTAAACTCACCCTGGAGAAGCTTTGGATCTTTGATCTTAATCTTCATTTGATCGTAAAAGAACTTGATGGCATTTCTCTGGTGATCAGTGTCGCTGTAAAAAACTGGGAAGAGGCCATTGAGACGCCTCTCAACACTCTTTCCATGGGCCTGAAGCTTGGAGGGATTCTTTTTGAACTCCTCTCGGTCCTCTGGTGAGTCTTTGAACACAGTTAGTATCCAGGGTTCGATCATGGAAGCAACTTGGACGTACATTCTGGGCTAAACTCATCACCTGCGAGTCCAGGTGCAAACCAGACCGGAGTGCGAGAGAAGACAGTCATCTTGGAAACATGAGGCTGATGGATGTCAGCAACACTGAGGCGTTGAACGAAAGTAGTAGTGACTTGCCTGCATGCTAGGCACGACCTGTACTGCCGAGGCACCGCTGCCAATTACAGCAACGGTCTTGTTCTTCCACGCCTCTTGGTCGAATTGGTCATCCCATTCAGCAGTGTGAAGCAACTGAAACATCCGTGAGTACAAAATCAGCACACGCAGTCTGTAAACTCACTGTTCCCTTGAATTTCTCGAGGCCCTCAACATTAGGCCACTGATAGACATGTTGACTTCCAGCGTTATTCACCAAGATCTCTGCATCTTGGTGATACTCCCGATGCTCGCCATTTGGTAGCTCTTCCCGCACAAAGACGCGCCAGAACCCCTCCTCATGCCACTCAGCCTTCAGAACCCTGGTATGAAACTTGATATACTTGTCAAGGTCAAATGTGGTGGCGCATTTCTGGAGGTACTTTTGGATGTCTTGACCTCTTTGCTCAGTCAGTACCAGCGGAATTCTCCATGGACTTTCCAACTCACGGGCTGAGGAAACGGGGCCAATCTGGATTCGGCGCAAAGCTGTATTGATACACGTGAGATGGGACATCACATGCAACTCCAGGATATCTGTTATGGTTCCAGACACCTCCTAGCTTACTACTCTTTTCGAATACAGTGAGGTCGAAGTTTTCGCACTTGTTGGAAACCCAGTACGCGAGATTGATGCCGAAGAGGCCAGCACCTATGTTGATGACCCGAATCTTTCGATTGGCTGGGAGAGCATATGTCAGCATGAATAGTATCTAGATAATCATAAGGGAAGAGTCTGGACTGACATGGGTTACCAAAAGTCTTGTCTGAGATTTTGTAGTCTGGATTATAGTTCTGATAGAACTGACTCCACACTTTGGCCTGAGTCAGCTTGTTGGCCAGCTCTTGCGAATCAAGGATATCAGGGCTCATGGTTATGAAAGATAATACTAAGTGTCGCGTTCTAAGATAAGGATGATGTCTTTTGCTTCAACCAAATGGTCTCTAAAGCTGTATTATACACTCTGATACGGATTTTTTCTGATAAAGTGTATGTCTAAGAAAAGCTTGTCAGACATTCAGGCAAACGGTCCGCGGGTTCCATTGTATTCGGAAACTTGAGAAAGCTCGGAACTTCCATCTTGCAAGCGATGGAGAGCGGCTTATCCGATGATTAGAGCTCCAGCCTAGCGGTATTTCCATGCTTACAAAGTTGGTATTGACTCCTCGGAAATCGTGATCAGATTTCCGATGCCAAAGTTACACAGATGAGGATTCAGAGCCGAGAAGGGACAGGAGATGGATGAACCTGGCCCAAAGCAAAACACGTCGCAAGGGGATCGGCAAGCTCGGAGGCTAGCCAAATACAAACTGGTCGGTCTCGGAACTACCGAACCCCATACCCCACAGTTGCCTACCCCAGACTTTGAAACTCAGAGTTTTGTTTTTCGGGTTGCGATGCCGACAATGCCTTTAAATGAAAGAGAACTAGCATTTAGTGATCTTTGGTAATCCTAGATAAGATTATCAATGTGCTTCTGTGGCAATTAAAACTCACAAACATCAATTAATTTTAAGATGTAAGAAGTCTAGCAACTGTTATTGACTTATTATTCGTGCTAATCGTGCGTGCCCAGGTCGCCCAAATATATACTCCATGGAGATTATGTCTCCCCGTACTCAATCACCGCCGCACATACACTACTCGAGAAAGGCCTTACCTGGGAATACAGGCATATCGACATTCTCAAATTCAAGACTCGGGTATGAGGAACCACGAATTGAATGGAACTGACTACCATGCAATATGCTAACTGGCCAACAAGACGCCTGAACACCGCAAACTACACCCTTTCGGCAAAGTGCCAATCTTGGACGTACTAAATGACCAAGGCGAGAGAATCCTTCGAGTCTGTGGTATGAACTTGACCCTTCCTCCAAGATTCATGCCACTTACCAAGGTTACGTAGAAAGCCGGGCGATTGCCCGCTATATCGCTGCCGTGTACTCTGACCACGGAAACCCGTTAATGCCAGAAATCTCCGATGTAGAGGCTATGGCTTCATTTGAAGAAGCTGCCTCGGTGGAGGTTTGCTATTTCTCTACTACAGCGTGGAAATACTGCGGAGATATCGTCATTAAACCGCAAGTCAACCATTTTTTCGTATTGTCCGTCACTGATCGCGTTGCTAATTATTACTCCTAATAGAGTACTGGGTATTCCCAGAGTAGGAGAAAAGGCATTGGATGATATTTGGAATGAGTTAAATGGCGCGCTGAAGGCCATGGACGGGATATTGTCTGGCCGTAGTTATCTCGGTGGCAAAGAATTTACCCTGGCCGATATCTGGTCTATGCCCTGGGTGTCACAGCTGATTGACCTGAAGGGAGCTGACATATTCTTTGCCGAGTTGCCGTATCTGCGAAACTGGTGGGAGAAAGTGAGCTTGAGACCAGCATGGAAGGAAGCATGTGGACTAATGGATGAAGCGTTGGAGGTGATGAGGAAGAATGCAGCAAACGGACGGGAACTGAAAAGGCAGTCATGAGAGTTACCTATATAGCTTCGTCATCTGCCGTCCATGACAAAATACGAAGACCTTCAAGACTTCTGAGTTTCATTCAATTTGGTACCAATTTCTCGATAGCGGGCTTGCTTCCGAGTGAAAAACAACGTTAGTTTGTATGGGGTCCTTTGGCTAGAGCGCGGGGTTGCCCACGTGACCGAATTATTGTCCTACTACCTCGCTTCATAACTGCGATGCAACCCAACCTAACTCTAAACAACATACAAAGTTTAGAAGTTAGAACTGCCATGTCACTATCGATTGACGCCATAAACGATGTACCAGATACCCAACGAATCACCCGAGGCGGACGCCGAAAGCGCAACGAATACGCCCTGGTCGCATGGTATTTCCTAACCCTCTTTCCAAATATACAGGATGCTAATATACTGGCTACAGTATGCTATGCAAGTCTCGAAAAGTTAAATGTGACGGTCAATGGCCTTGCCAGCGCTGTACCAAGCGTGGCGTGGAGTGTTCCTACCCTCGTCGTGGCAACATACCTAGCATGAGCCCAATGCCTACAGAAATGAGCTTGTAGGATTCTACATCAAGTCCAGAAGGAATATGATCTAATCAATTTTTTTCTTTAGAGAGGCGGAGTACTCTCCATCAACTGAAAATGACGCGACGCCTCAGATATTTGCGACTTCCGGCGGCGTTACCTCGGGTGAAGCATCTCGTCTACCTGCGCAAACCGGCAATAATCTGGGCGCCTCGCTACAAAGCCCTGCAGCTACCGACAGATCCCCTACGGCTCGCCGCTCAAGTTTTGTTAATACTTTTAGCTTGGCAAGATCATGCCTTGAAGCTAAAGGTATAGTGGACCAAGCCGAGAAGGACGTCCAAGGTTCAACGAACAAACCATGTCTGACTTTGGAGCAATCTCTTGCTTCCGCGAACGACGACTGCCTGGAATCTGTTCTAGACCTCGGTTACGAAAGAGCTAGAAATCTTTTCATCACCTTTGCGGAGACCATTCATCCGATATACCCGTGTGTTGACCTCCAATCGACAGAACAGGTCTTGGGTGCAGTCTTTGGGCGTTCAGCGGGTCATACATTACAGCCTGCTTCGATCACCCTGACCAAGATAGATGTTCTCAAAGCTCTCTTTGGGCTCACTCTCCTCATCGAGGATGATAACACAAGTCCTCTGGCACGGCACCTTCAACGCTACGTCGATTGGTCAGTGGAGAAGGTCGTTACGGGCGGAGGCCCTGATGTCGACGACGTTACCATGGCTACCTTGATGGTGAGATGTCCAACCTGACGACACAGCTTCCTGACTAATTGCTTGCGAAATAAAGAGTTTATATTTCTTCCACAAGTCTGAGCATATGAAGGCGTGGCGGCTCATTAGTCTGGCGTCAAGAACATGTTTTGAGCTTGGCTTTCATCAAGCACCGGACGTGGTTCAGAATCTAACGCAAGCCGCTGGTGCGTTCTCCACACGAGAGCTTTTTTGCTGTGTATACGTACTAGACCGAACATTTTCCTTCGCAACGGATCTTCCTCATACCACGAAGGACCAAGACATAGACGAAAGGTGCTTTGATCTTGTGAGTCAAGTCGACCTGGATCCTGTAGGCTAACACTTTCTGACTCTCAACAAGGGAACATCAGCTCCGTTCTTAGTCGTAACCATGGAATACACGCGTCTCAACTCGGAGATAATTGGACTGCTGAGGCCTTCAGCCAAGAGCGTTGCAGAAGGTCGACAGCATAAAGAGTATCTCGACTACAAAGTCCAACGGCTACGCGACCAATTCCAAGACCTCACGACAGCGGCCCGCTCCACAGCGTTACCTAGCAGACCTTGGGATCCCCTACAGAATGAATTACTTATGAATGACCTGGAAACCTTTCTAGAAGTACGAATCTGTCACGCTCGAATACTACTACGCAAACCCCTCCTTCACTCATATAAAGGTGACCGAGAAAAGACAGCAGCCGCAGCAGTCTGTATCCAGTGCGCAAAGGCTACCATATTTCTGTGCTCTGGTGTGATCAACAAGGCAGTCCCGCTGAAGTGTCTTCGAAGTTCATACGAATATTTCACCGTGTCATCACTCGCTATAATCCTGCTCGTCGTTTCTCAGGACCCAGAGACCTATGGACACGAGAGCAGAGACGCATTCCAAGAAGCGATCAGGATACTTCAGGTATCGAAATGTCGCACCTTTGCATCGAACAATTTGTGCTTTAGTTTTGAACAACTTATCAGGATCGGGGAGCGCCTTCACATGCCTAAAGATATCAACACGCCAACATTACAAGACTTTGGAGATATAGATATGGGGCAGCTTTTGGTGGATCCTCAAGGTGTTGGATCAAGTAAGTTTATAGCCTCCAAGCGTGATAGGGATGGAATACTAAACGGTAAACAGTCGATCTTCAGACTCTGGATGATAGTATATTTGGACTATTTGGGATGAACAAAAACTGGCCGGCCAATAATAGCTACATCTGAGACCTCGGCGATATAAGCCCTATAACCTAGAAGAAAATATATGGGAATGACTGCAGCCTTGGGCTGCGAACACAGTTGATAAATGAGAACACGGTATTCTTTCTCACCAATATAAGCTTTTACCCAGAAGCTTTCACGGTGAGGAGCAAATAAATACATGGCCGATAGAACCTAAAGCGGGTGCTTGATGACAACCTTGGTCAAGCTGATCTTTCCCTCATTCACGTCCTTGATAGCCTGTATGCCCTCCTCAGCCCCCTCCACAATCTTGACATGAGGAATTCGGAATTGCGTCCCGTAGTTCATCGCGGCCCAAACAACCGCCCTCTCTAGCCGAGCCTCCCATACGGGATTTGCCTTGTTTCCACCCGGAAACTCGAACGGGACAGGATTGTCGGTTTCCCTCGAAGCAAAAACCATTCTCCATCGAGGTGGCTTACTGAATTGGGGTAGGGTACTGACGAGTGTGACATCTGGCGCTGTAGCGATTGCCTCGCACTGCTGAATGGTGCCAGGACTGCCTGTCTTGCACACAGTGTCTAGGACATATCTGATGCTGACGCTGGTTACTTCGCATGAAGCCTTGATAGCATCAACGACATTTGGATCTCGATAGTTGAAACACTTTGTTGCGCCGAGTTCAAGTAGTGCCTCGTGGTTTGCAGGTGAAGCAGTCGTGAATATCCATTTCACTCCCATAGCCTTTGCGAGCTGTATCGCGGCACTTCCCACGCTACTCGCACCGCCCCAAACCAACAGAGCTTCAGTGGGCGTAGGCCCATGGACACCTATATCAGGGAAAGGGATCTCGAAATGATTGAGCAACGCATCTGCCGCTGAGCGCACCATAATACTGAGAGCAGCAGCATCTGGCCGAGGCAGCTGAGCGGGTAATTTTGCTGACATCAGATTTGACTCTAGGATGACAAAGTCTTGATGACCGCCATGATATCCTGGTTTTGAGCGTCCGGGATGGTTGGATCCAAAGACGACGTCCCCTACTGCGTAGCGACTAGTCCTTCCTGTTTCAATGACGGTGCCGCAGATTTCGTAGCCGCATACGTTGTTCTTCATGCCCAGATCCTTAGGATGATTGAGATCAGCTGGATTGATGCCTGAGTACTCGACTTTGACCAGGGCCTGGCCATCTTTAGGATGATACGCTTCGGGTATGTCGCGAATAGAGAGATCGCAGGAGTCGTCGACAAAGATACATTTGTTCATGTTGACTTTGGTTTCGTGAGCTTCGTTATTGTTCTGTCGTTTCTGTCTTTGCAGCACTGAGATAAGGATATCTAGATACTACTTCGTGGGTTACATTTATCCGTAGATGCAGTCGATAATCCCGAGACTGCATCGCGTGACGCCTGGAATTGTTGAGCCCCTATTTGGAAATTCGGAACTTCCGACATGCCCCCGTTTCGTCTCGGCCAAACCGAGGTGGATCCGATACTGAACTCGGAGCAATTCTTTCCAAGTGTCAACATGCTGCTCTTTGTCTCTGCGGATTTCCCGCCGGAAGACGCGAACATATGTCGATCTTTATGAGTGAATGCGTGGCAGCATAGACTGTGTAAAGCTATGTCATAGCCTTCACCAGCAAATTCGGAACTTGTTCCGTGAAAGCTAAGAATTGTTTCTACACAAACCCTGGATGCAAGGAAGTGCTGTAACAGCTATTCGGATGGTCCGGCACAGTAGCCACAGAAGAGCGGTTTCGACATAAACGGTCATCCAGCCGACTGACTCAATCTGTCAGCACAATCTCTATTCAATCAGCAACACATACCCACCTAGATCTCAACTACCTCCGTTAGCCTCAGCTCTCTGTAAAAATCATAATATCCCAAAATGGCGCCTTACTTAGCTCCCGAGTGGCTAGAGGTTAGACTGCATCCATTGTAGAAGCATTCACGAAGCTGACCCGTCGCAGGTGGAGAAAGAACTTGGTGGCCGCCTTGTCCTCGGCGGGACCATGGAGAATTATCGAGCTGGTGGAGAAGCCATTGGGAAGTATATCAAAGCTCATCTACCTCCTCATCGAGACGATGGACTTGAGGTTGGTAAGTGCAGAACATATCAGAGGCTCCATCTTCAACTTACAGGATTCAGCGGATGAGAAAATCAACGAGAATGTTACTCTTCGTACTTACAAGCCGAAAGACTCCAATGAAGCCTTGCCAGTTGGCGTTTTCTGTCATGGAGGCGGCTTCTCTGATGGATCTATTAAGATGGAAGATGGCTTGTGCAGACTGATTGCATCTTTGTATCCTTGCATAATCGTCTCTGTTGAGTACCGTCTTACCCCAGCAGTCGATATCGAGGTTGTATTCCAGGATGCCTTTGATGGATTCTCATGGGTAACTGAACTTTTTCCCAATCATCAGAAGGAGTTCTAACCCGCGACCACAGACTTACGAAAACGCGTCCAAGCTCGGAGGAGACCAAAAGCGCGTATTTATGCTTGGTAGCTCATGCGGTGGTACGCTCTCCCTTGCCACAGCCCATAAGCTCATTGAGCTTGGACGAGAGGGACAACTCAAAGGAGTAATCAACATGGCCGGAGGTACAGTCCACCCAGCCAACGTGCCAGAGCATCTCCAGCCCCTTATGAAGTCTATGGTGGAGAACGCTACAGATGTCCCCATCATTGACGGGCAGACAGCCATGATGATCAACGGTACGTAACGAGACGGACTGAAATCATGGACCAGCTACTAATGACTGATGCAGCATCGACTGGGCTCGACAAGCATGTCGATGATGAGTGGCTGTTCCCTCTCCTCTCATCGCATCTCGCCAAGTTTCCACGGACCTACCTCGTTGCCTGCGGGGCGGATCCTCTGAGAGATGACAACGTAGCCATGGAGCATGAACTTCGTAGCAAAGGGGTTGAGGTCAAGCTCGACATGTACGAGGGGTTGCCCCATGTCTTTTGGATGTTTCCGACGCTGAGTGCTACGAAGACGTTTATTGGGAATCTCATGACTGGCATCAAGTTTATCTTGGAGTAGAGTTCCAGTTCTTCCTGTTCAGCTAGGTATCAATATTAGACAGAGCAGATAGTGACGTAATAAACGCTTAGGCTTATGCAAGAATGCATGCAAAACATGTGACCTGTCCAGTCGCTAAATCACGTGGAAGTTACATGTTAAAGTGGCTTGTAAGTGCAATGGTTGGACCATCACGATACTGCAGTCTAAGACAGATGGACGGGCTAAACCCTCGGCTTGAAACAAACGGTTATGGCAACTCTTCTGATGAATTCCTCTTTGTGAACTGCTCTACGCTCAAATCTCTCCACGAATTTGCCTTTATCAGATCGGAACCAAACGGTAGTTTCCGCATACCCCGCGTTTCGGGTATGCAAAAGTTAGCTATCGCAATCGGAGGATCAGGCGCCGGCTCAGCCGGGGGCATTGCATGCCTCCTCTTACGAACCAGCATTGGCAGTACAGTACGGTGAGCAACGTAGCTCGGGAAAGCCGGAGCATAGCAGTAATACTAAGATGTGTGCTCTCAATGCTTAGAAGGGGCTTGTATCTTTTGTCATAATTAACCTATAACATCTCGGCGAACATGGTGTGTCTCGGCTCTTCCGATTTAAAGTAGGGAGTCATAGAAAATCCTATTTTGATCGCCCGGACATGCAGATACCGTCTTCGTGAGAAATAATACCTAACCATTCTGGCAGCTAGAAGCAGGTTCCAAGCGGATAACCCGAAATTTATTTGAACCTTTGACTACAAGGTGAAGGACCATACCCCGGATCCCCAGGTCGGAACATAGATAAGAATTCCGATCCAAGTCTGGGGATTCGTGGCTTAGGCATTAGCGCCGACACTACCCCGGATTCCTCTGTATCACGAGCAACTAGGGTATTGATAAAAGTCTAAGCAAGTCCGACTTTAAGTTTAGATCACCAAGCAGCTACATCAATCTTTCCTGTTCTATGTTCATCTCATAAGCCTTGTTACAACCCCCCCCAGTAGACGTGCTCTACCAGTACTACCCAGCGTCAGTCGACAGAGCCTGAGTATCTCTTTCTGGTCTCTGGTATCAACTCTTCGTAAAAGCAAAGCTGCCAGCAACATCGAAGTCCGGCATGGCGACCTCGTCTGAGAGCGGTTTGTGCCGAAAAGATGGCCCGATGGTAAGTTCTTCTACTAATCCATAATTCAGTTTCCTATCACCTACAATCCCCACAACGCAGCGCTGACACATGTCTCTCTTAGTCATGGCCCCTATGGTGGCGTTTCATCATGATGGGTAATCTATCCTTCTTCGTCATGATGGGCCAAGTTTTGGGTGCTTCCATTCCACCAATGCTTCTTCCCCTCGTGAAGGACATGCATGTGAGCAGCACAAAGATCTCTCAACTCGCGAGCTGGGGAACTCTTTGCATTGGTCTCGGAGTAAGTACTATAGCGTCACCCAGTAACCCATGCGAGTTCCATCGACGCTGAGCATGTTCTCGATTATCAGAATGTCTGGGCGCTTCCCACCGTCGCATATGTCGGTAGCCGTTATACCATCCTCATCGGTCTCGCAGTATTCACGGCTGGCTTCTTCTGGCAAGCCAGAGCGCAATCGTACGAATCTCTACTCGCAGCTCGTGTCATCGGCGGTTTGGGCGGTGGTGTCGTTGAGGCACTAGGCCCAGTCGTCGTGGTGCTCCTATTTCCCCGCGAGTACGTCGCCCGAGCCATGAGCGTATACACATGGGCCTTGGGTACTGGTGCCGTCTTCGGTCCTCTAATTACTGGCTATGCTGTCGATAATCTGGGCAGCTGGAGGTATCCAAACTATATCTTCGGTGGCATCTGTGCTCTCAACCTTGTGGCCATGATCTTGATGTTTCCTGAGCCTCTTACCAACATTCGAGTCCCTGGTGACCCAGAACCTTCCGATATCGCCATCGAGTCAGGTGATGAAGAACAAGTCGGGGAGCCAAAGGAGCCTTTGGAAGAGGTTGGAAATTCTCAGCAATATGAGACTCGCCCGGCTTCAGTGGCCACATTCGAGCCATGCAAGCCCGGCGCACTCTGGTTAAGACGGTCATTCTTTCTCACACTCAAGCACAACCAGCCACCGCCAAACTTCTTCTATCTTGTCGTGGAACCATTCAAAATACTCGTTTCTCCCGCTGTAATCATCACAGTCCTTTTGTTCGGTATCTCAATCGCCGGCACCATCGCCACTTCGATCCTAGTTTCAGTCACCTTCTCCCAGCCCCCATGGCTCTGGACATCGGGCCAGGTCGGTCTCTACAATATTGCCCCCCTGCTGGGGTTGATAGCTGGTATGCCTTTTGGTGGCGCTGGAGCAGATTGGCTTGCTGAGAGACATTTGCGACGCCATGGCGAGTTCAAGCCCGAGTCAGTACTGCCGATCCTTTTGCCATTCGCCATCGCAACACCGATAGCTACGACGCTCATAGGTGTTGGCTTCCAGCGCAACTGGCACTGGGCTATCGTTGGACTCTTCTGGGCCATTCTCAATGCCAATCTCACCGGAGGCTGCAACGTCATGATCTCTTACTGCACTGAGAGCTACCCCAAGAAGGCCATTCAGATTGGTGTCGTCGTTAATGTTATCAAGAACGTTATTGGCTTTGGAGTATCTTACAGCACTCTGGGTTGGTGGATGAAGGACAAGTACTTCATGTTCTTGACTATTGCTATGGTTATTTTTGTACTTTTTATTGCTTCCGTTCCGTTGTGGATTAGTGGACCGGGGATTACTCGCAAGACTAAAACGTGGGTTGCTTATGAGGAAGAGTAGGTGGTATTCATGGTGGTTGAGTACTCAAAGCTTGACAACACACCGTCTTGTTGTCGTATAGGCATTTATAGGGATAATTATACAATGCTAACTTAAATATACGATACTGCATGGCATACACAGTCTCATGATATACCGTTGAGAATTTATTTTTCCTTGAGAGTCTGATATCACAGTATAGGGTCTAACTGCACTTAACTGTATATATTATTAAATGAGGACGGAAGACAAAGTAAGAAGATACCTAAATAGTGCTATATCTATAGTATTGAAAACCTCAACTATACTTGATAAATTAACAAAGAACTCTACTCATTAAGAAGAACTAGTCCGACATAGAGTGGATAGCCTGGATATTCACAGACTTACCCAGCTACCGGACGCAAGACCTCTCACTTCGCGTCCCGGCAGGTTGATCAATAGACAGTCCCTGGTTTATTAGAAGCGTACAGAGTAGATAAGGAGCAATATCGACGCCTAAATTGGGCATGCGCGTCCTATCCCGAACGTACGTGTCGAGGGCAAACTCAGGGTCAATATTTTCCCTCGAAGAAGCCTGGTCACATCTCGTCTAAACGAACACGCGGCGAATGGCCTTCGTTAATCGACTATTCGATATCGTTTGCAATCTTTCGCCATTTATTTTAGGAGTGACATTACGTGGCCGAGGTAGTTATCTAGTCTATGACCTGCCTCCTGCCAATCAATTGTGAGTAATGATAGGAATATTGCCACTTATATGGGTGTTTTTTTATGCTGATCGCGAGTGATTGGGAAATTCATGAGAATGGATTGCTTTCTTGATGCCTGACCTGTCGATCTCCCCTCCTTAGCGTCCCAATCCGGAGTAATTTATATCCTTTCTTCGATGGAACATGGAGGATCTGCAGCGCTAGTGAATTGATGACCTGATTTTAACTTTCCAAAAAATGCAGTGGCTTACAAGGTGGCGTCTAGCAGCTGCTGTTATCTGGAACCCTGTCTAGGTGTCTAGGAAATAAACGGGACATCTTTAGTGCTGAGCACACATAAGAATTCCAAATTATTTTCCAGACCCGAGGCCTGTTGATAATTGTGGATTTTTGAACCTTGGTCGAAGTAGACTAAGGGAGGAAATAAAACACGAGACTGGATCTGGTGGTAGATCGGTGAATTTAAGTGTAAGCCGCTCTCATGTAATTTTTTCCCCGGAGGACAGACAACAGCCTATCCGGATTCATTGATTACTCAACATCAGGCTATAACCTAGCATGGGCACGTGGGCCAGTTTTACCCAAATATTGGTTGAAGTCTAGCGTATATAAAGGAAGCCAGTTTGATTATTTCCGCTTTTATACCACTATTTGATGACATCTTCAACGGCATTCTTCTGTCTATATAGCCTCTAAATCTCTTGATTATTGTCATAGCTTCAAGTCAAAGGTCAAATCTAGATTAATTCCCATTTATTCCGCGCTGAAACTTTGAGACTTCCCGCGCCGGTCTCTGGCGCCCTTGCTGATAACCAGTAGTGTCTGCAGACGTAGAGGTTGCCTTTGTGATGTCTCAATAAGCCAAGACTGAGATTTCATGGCTTGAGGTACTGTACACTTGATGGCGCTGTAGTAAGTGCTGAGTCAAGCCAACAACCCCCTCCACCCCTGGTCCCAATTCCACTCTACCAACCTCATACCCCGGATCGCGTGCCACTGGACTGCAGGAAGCCACACCGCAGGCGTAACAGGTCAACCCATGACTTCTTTGCTTCGTTAATACCCAGGACCCATGGACATGTGATACTAGTGCGCCGGTGGGTTTTGACTGGCAGCGGGACATCCATAAACCATAACTAGACTGGCTGGTTGAGGCATGTGCTGCTCATTGGTAACCATTGAGTTGTTGCGAATGGCCAAGGAACTGGACGGGAACATCATGGAGTAGTCAATGTGAGCATAAGATGAGGTGCTAATCTCGGGGTGCTTTGTACCGACCGCTTTAAAGGTGCACTTGCGGTTAGAGCTTCCAGATACGGCGCTGTAACTGGTGTTCCCACTACGTGAGTAGTTCAGGGACCGTTGAGCGGAGTAAGCACCATGACGGATGGAGGACTGTGAAGCGTGATAGCCGCTAGGGTGCCCGGTAGGGCGACGGGAAGTGGGAGCATTAGTTTGCATCCGGCTGTCACCGCCCCAGTAGCCTGTAAGGTCTACAGTTGAGTCGCCCTTAAGAGAAAGAAAAGCGGATCGCCGAGGCTGCAACGGAAAGCCGAGCTGAGAAATGTCGCTGGGGAGTTGCAGCCCAGAATCTTGTCTCGTCTGGTGCCAGATTGAGTCATCTGCGTGCCTCTGCAACGGGAGTGTGAGCTAATGCCGGAACTTGTCGGACCGAGGGGTTTGTACCTTGGTATGCTTCTTAAGGTCCTGGGGACGCTTGAAGGTCTTGCTGCAGAACCTACATTTATGAGGCCTCAGGGCTACATGAGTAAGGACATGCGAGATGATGTGGTGACGCTTTATGGTGCTAGTACGACAAGAGCCCCACTGGCAAGTCAAGTTGAGATTGTTACTGCTCTTGCGGCCAACATGGCGCTCACAGATATGCTCCTGAGGCGAGGTTTGAGTATTCCGTAGATGTGATCAGACGCCGGGCGTCGTTAGTGGATGGGACTCACATAGAGCAATTCAGTAGTGATGGACTTCTGGTTGCAGGCTTTCCAGCGACAGATGAGGTTGTTGTCAGACGTTATGGACGACGTCACACTGATCTGGGGCGTATCATACGTGGCACTGGGAACGAGAGCCGGAGACTCTGAGCCCTTGCCATTCATACTACTACCGAACGACGCCACCAACTGATGCGGTTGGTCCAGGGCGAAGAGAGGCATTGCAGTAAGCTTTTGGTCGCGTGGAGAGCTCGTTCGGGTGATGGATGATGAGGGGGCGGTTGTCAAGCAGCCAATAAGGCAAACGCGCTAGGAAAAAGAGTAAAAGAATGTGCATGAGTTAGACGAGGTAAATAAATAGAGTACCGTCGCAAGTGGCATGACAAATTGACGGGACGAGGCATATGAGGAGGCCCAGGTTGAGAGAGTGAGCGCCTGCTAGAGAGATTGGCCTCTTAGCACAGTCTCAGTCGCCATTAAATGGAATTAGAGAAAGGTTGCCAAGACCCCAAATCCTTCGCAGTCCAACTCCTGACGGTTCCCATTGGCCTCGCTCACCATCCAGGGTCTACGCGCTGAGCCGCCATTGCATCATGTGTCGTATTGGCCCCGACGTCATATGCACAACCAAGGATCAGCCAGAAAACCCGTATTGTTAGTGCCACACACTTGATTTTTCCATCCCTCCTTGGGGGGAACCAAAACACGGACCCCAAATCGGTGAATCGCCAGCGAATTTTGGTGTAAGCCAAACCCATCAAGGGCCGTGTATTTTGCCCCCCCGCCCAGGCCCCCCAAGACGCAGTCAAGCCCCTTTTCGCACAGGTAACCGAAGGAACGGGAGTGGAAGCAGTCATCCAGTCTTGATGTCTCGTCCGCTGGCAAGATGAAAAGTAGATCTCAATAAGCCAAAATAGCCCTCAAATTCTTAACTAACTGAATATACTCTAGATGCAAAGTCAAGTAGTCCAGTGTTGCCTTCAACAAATCTTGCACATTCCCGTCATTCCTCATGAGTGGCTCCAGCGGGAATAATCGGCAACATTGGAGAACCACCGAGTATAAGTAGGCATTGACCATCAATGCCGTGCAGATGTTGGGGCTGTTCAGTATTCCAGTGATGGGAATCCAAAGAACATAGTCTTTAATACGCCTAATGCAGTCAAACCCCTCGCCTGTTTGCACGGGAGCGGCAGGGTCGCTGATGACCTGAGCAAGGCTGGTTATCGCCGCCAGTCTCTCCCTGTCGGACACCATGGCTCCATTTTCTATCAAGAGATGTCCAAACCTCTCCATCTCAGTGATGATACAACGCATGATTCCAAGGGAGAGTGACTTGAGCACATCAGACGTGTCAACCTTTGCTCTCAGTAAGCCGGCTTTCGAATCGGTAAGCAGCTCCACTAAGTAGGAGGAGTGTCCTAAGAACTTGTAGACTGACAAAACCTGCTACATAATCAGAATCGTTAAGATATGTGTACATTTTCTTCCACCTTACCGTCGTGATCACTTGTGACATGCATTTCCAATCGTCCCTTGATCTAGTCAGACATTTCACCAGTTTGTAAGTGATTGGGAATACTGACATATCCTCAGATAAGCACAACAAGGCAATAGACCCAGTAATCACCTCATCCGCTTGATTCATATTCAACAGCTGGATGCCCTCCCTTAGCTCCCTGATAGCCTGGATTTTATAGTTATATGCTTTGATTCGAGGGAAGGCGCGGCCGGTGGAGAACTCGATGTGCGACGCTGATAACAAAAGTAGTCCATCCATGACAAGTCGAGACTTTGAAGCAATGTGGAAGAAGCTGCCATTCATTAGCAAAGGTGTACAATGTTGAGTTCTAGAAATACATCGAACCTTGGCATGAAATTGGATAAAAGGGTAAGATGACATAGACCTGATGCATCGAGCTTATGATACAGCTTCATGATATGGTTTAGGTAACAAAGTTCGTCTTCCGAGTAAACTCCTATCGGCAGATGAACTTTTGGCGCAAAATACGCAAGTGGTGGAATCATCTTTGATTCCCGCCATTGCCGTACTTCGTCAAGAATCTGGGCTGACCATTTGCCCTCTGCAGAGATACTGGCGGTAAAGTCCTCAGCAACGACCGACTCTTCACGGTTTTCATACTCATCGAGGTATGTGCATCTCACTTTCCGCCTTGTACAGTTCCGACTTGAGTAGGTCAGCTGAAGACACGTATACGAGAGAGGATAATGTCAAGAGGCTCAAACCATTGAGGGAATGTTTCGTCGCATCGGATGTGGCGTAGCTTGCTGCAAAATACGAAAGTCAGAATGCGACCCGGCCTTAGTGCATTAGCCATACCATCTTTTACATCCTGTACGTGACTTGATGTGGCTGCTGGCGACTTAGTAAGACCATCAAATCGGAGACTTCAATACGAACCTGCGTCGCTGTTGAGCAGCTTTTTTGACAGGCATTGAAAACAAACGGCTGTGTCTTCGGTGGCAAAAGTAACTTGACTTTCCCAGAAGGGCATATTCGCCGTACTCTTTGGGGGTATGAGAGTTTACCCGTTTGACATGGAGGTTGAGTCACCCGTATTTAACACTGGTCTAACCAAGGTCAGACATGGCATTGTATTCGCCTTAAATGAGCAAGTCTCTGTCACTTATCGTTAGTGTGGCCTTGTGCATATACCCCTGATTGTTAGAAATGTAACAACCAACGTGAATGACGACGCCTCAAAAACATATTCGTAATAGGTTGCTTGGCTTCGGGTAGACGGCATGTAAGAGCAACACTTCTATGCCTGCTAGTCTAGTCGCTATTATTCCTTTCGTTAATGGTTGCACGCTAAGTAGGTTAGAGGCTAACTAACTATATAAGCATATCGTAATTACGCAATGCAGTCGGTGTTAACAGTCTATCTCTTATTGGTCCCGATCTAGCAACTCTGTATCGACCTAACCATTGCTACCAGCTGCCTGGCAAGGCTCGAACTCATACAGTCGTGTTCCATCCTTGTTATAGACTTCATCTTAAGCACAGGTGTAGGCTTGCTGAGGCTATCAAAGAATTCAGCAACCCCGAGAAGTCGATAATTATTTCGCAATAGGAGCAGATTCTTAATTGTGGCCAATTCTGGTTTTAGAATTCTATAATAATCAGGACCAGATAGTATCCATCTCCGTCATCACCAAAAGTTCTGCTACCTGTATATCCATAAGATAACCATATTGCATTAGTGCATGTCAGTTGCTGATGCTCCTGTAACCACCAGCGAATTTGCACTGATGTAAGCAAATAAATAAGGTTTAAGAGACCTTAAATCGGCTAAGTTGAATTAATTAGGTTAAGGCTAATTTATATTAGATTCTCGTATTAGATAAGGGAAATCGAGCTAAGATACACGATTAGATAGCTTTAATCCGACTGTTTTCCGATAGCTCCGTAAAGATGTACTGTAAAAGGTGGAGCATCCATACCTTAAGGGATGTTCATGATCCGAGACAGGACCCAACAGTTTCAGTTCATTGCTTTAATAATCCGAGCCAGTAAAGATATGGTACTGAAACTCATGCCCATATACCTTCTACACGGTTATCTCGGCGAACCGTCTCTGACCAAGCAACCTCTTTACACATAATCCCGTAGATAAAGCATTCTCCAATATACCACAGTTTCCCTTCACTGCCTATCGATCTCAAAACATATCGCAGCGGGCATCTGTCAAACACGTACACAGAATCTCCCTTATCAACGCGCCTAAGGGAGAGTCCTAAATAACTATTTCTGTAACTCCCAGTCTTCTATTCGTTAATGCAGGTCTCAAATCTATCCTTGCTGGAACATCCGACCTAGGATTCGCTCACCGAGGTTCTGGAGATGCATCCTTGTCCCATTGGAAGCTTCTGACGATCCGAATATATCTGACCTGGAAGTGACAGAGATTTAACTATTGCCTGATCCATGAGAAGACTGAATATTTCGACGAAACAGTTGGTGCAGGTTGAGATACCCTGTTTATCTGTTCTAGCGACGAGGGTTTGCCAGAGAGCTTTAGCGACTCTGCCTTCATAGACCTCGTGGAGGATCTTTGAGGCAAGGCGACGGAAGCAAGTAAAGCAGCGTCCTGGGCCATCGGGCACTGAAAACTGACATACGGTTTGTCGGATAGTTCATTGACCTCGACAATAGTGTCAAAGGAGAAACCGGGAGTACTGAGTTTACTATCGTTGATTTCGGCCATTGGTTTTCTGTGGCTCTTTCCCAAGTTGAAGCGCCCACATGCCTTGTACATATCGCCAAACGCGCGTGATGCACTAAGTGCAGTCATTAAAGGTAGCTTCCTCTAGTCAGGAACACAAGATGGCATATCTGGTGACTCATGCGCCGCTTGTGCTAGGACGCTGGATGGTCTCATCCAGGGGCCTAGCTCATCACGTCGTATAAATTACCCTGCTACATGTCTATAGATGTCTCCCTTAGTTTAATCCTATTAGTAGCTGACTCTCACTGCTGCCTTATCTTTATTATTGTAGATCGCACGGGCCGTGGACTCTATCTTCGTCTTGCCGACACTTAGCATTCCGCGTTCTAGTTAAAACGATAAGTAGACTGTTATTTTAATTAATTATTAAAGCTTATAATATCTAAACATAATATATTAAGTTAATATAATAAAAAATACTAATTAACTTTAGGTTTCTAAAGGTAATATATATATAGCCTTTATAAAGATAAGTCTTTTAATTAAAAGTAGAATAATATGCTTTTATAATGACTTAAGTAGACTGTAATATCTAATATAATTCTTAAACTCTTGATGTTCCAAATTGCTGCACCCAAAGGGCGCTGATCAGAGATAAGCTCAGAAAACTTCTCCTAGCTTGCGCGAAATGCCACATGTTTCGAGATAAATACAGGCGTTTGTGAACCTTGCCCAATCTAGTAATCTATCCCCGCATGTAACCCATCTGAGGTGTCTTGGTGAGAGTACGGCTTCTTGAATAATCCAGTGAAGTAGGCTATGTAGTTCAAAGGGGTGAGCGAAGAAAATGCTCGGCATCAGGCTGCAGGTCATGAATGAATGGTGTTGTTATCAGCTACCAGGGAGTAATCTAGGGTGCAACGCCCTTCACCAGGCCATTACGGCCTAAAATTGCATCTTCACTTCGTTCTTTACTCGTGGAAACAGTACCCGCCTGGCTTGTGCTGTACTGCAGCTGTTGGTTGCTAGGGTACATTTAAACGGAGACAATAACCAATGGATAGCGCCAAGGACGCCGGTCATCTGCAGCCACTTTGCACTTCTTATACGATCGTCAGATATCTGCTACATCAGTCGCTGAGCAGAGCGGGGTAACTAGCCATGTGGCTGGCCTCAAAATAAAGTTGTGCTTCCAAGTTTGCGATAATGTACACAATCAAACAGTGCCACGCGTCAGCTAGCGTAGCATCAATTTGAACAAGGCGAGTTCTTCTCGCCTCTTATATACTTAGCTTTGTGGATGATCCGCAGGTCTCCTTTTCCTGCCCTAGACTCATCATAAGAATGACCTCGAACGATAGATGCCATGGCTTCCCCTTATGACATTCTAGACATGAACGCTTGGGCTACAGATGAACATTCTGGAATTCCTCATCTGGTTGTTCCGAGCGACAATTCTGAAGCAGTATGGCGTAACGGGGAAGAGTCATCTGGGCAACCAGCGAGCGAAAGTGATGAACCTCAGGCGGATACCAACGAAATCAATGATCAGATAATCTGTGGAGAATGCGAAACTCTACATGCTCTCTGGTACTGCGGAAGGTGTGGTAAGCTTTGTGACGAGTGTTGGCTAGACCGCAGGCCGCACAAGAGGAATAATCCTTCGCATCAACGGATAACAATCAGTCAATAGTAAAAACCTGTCACCCAGACTACAAAGCTGTACAAGGACTCATTAGCGCAGTAAACTCTTGAAAAAGGTCTTAGACCCAGATCTCTCGAACCTGGACTCTCTACATCGGATAGTTTGTGGTTCTCCGTTGATGGTGATACTGGCTCCCTTGAGCTTCGGGAATTCCCACGTTTCGGTGCTATCATATCCGAACATCAGAGACAGCATTCACCTGAAGCACTCCCTTTTCCTGGACTTGTATCCTTTACTGGAAAGACTGGCGAAGGAAAGAGTGCGATAATACGGCTTCTGATAGAACATTTGTGGGATGAGACAGCTCGGCGTCGGATGAGAACACTCGGTCTCTATACCAAAGCCCCAGTCGTCGGGCCGCGGCAAAGGAGTATCGCGACTTCTGGAGATATACACCTTTATTACGATACACTTATGGATGATGGCGAGACCACGGGCCGCCCACTTTTGTATGCGGACTGCGAAGGTTTTGGTGCAGGAACCCAGAGGCCCACATCCCACCAAGGTCGACGATCGTATAACTGGACCTCGGTTCTAGGGTTGCAAGAGATCCCAAGATGGAAAACTGGTTGGAGAAATATCACGAGTGGGTTCAGGCGGCCCTTACCTGGGATCGAAAAACGACAGGATGCCGTCCGATACCTCTTTCCCAAGCTTCTGTACAACTTCTCCGATGTCGTTGTCAACGTTATGCAGAGCCATTCATTGCGGCAAATAGATGATTACCTATAGGGATAAATGCGACCTATAAGGTTAACCTTTAGGCTATAAATATAGATAATAAATAAGAATATAGTATTTTTTGCCTTAATATAAGCTTTTACTTAAAAGCTTTTATAATAACTATTATATCTTATTATAAGCCTTAAGGTATTATAAGGTAAAGAGATTAAAAGGTATATAAAGAGATATAACCTTAAGTTTATATCTTTATATATATTATAATAATATAACTCTATAAATAATATATTAATTACTTTAATAATTTAAACTATTATTAATAATAACTTAATAAATTAAAAAACTTAAGACTATATTTATTAATTCTTTATTATTTTTATTAACCTTAAAAATATAGCTAAATTATATATTAATATAAAAGATAATACTTAAAAGCTTTAATTAATTATTAAGCTATTTAATAAAGGCAGTTATATTAATAATAAGTTTTATATTAAAATTGCCTTTTTTAACTATAATATATTTAATATAGTTATTAATAAGTTAAATATTTATTACCTATTATATTTTATTTATTAATAGAAAAAGGAGCTATAAAGACTTAATAATAAGGAAAATAATAAAAAGGAAAATAGTAAAAAAAAGAATAATAATAAGGAGGTTAATAATAATAAAACTAAAATTAAGGCATTAAAGGGTAATTATAACTAAATAAATAAATTATAGTATTATAAAAGGTATTAACTTATTATTAAATAACTTTAAGAAGGATTATATATATACTATAGTAAAAAGGTTAAACTATTAAAGGTTTTATTAATTAAATTATTTAAGCTAGAAAAGTTAAAGTATTAATATTTCTATTAAGGTAAGTTATATCTAGATAACTAAAAGCTTTAATAGCTAAGAGAATATAAGCTAATTAAGTTTATAAGATTAATATATAATAATTTTAAATATAATGGCAGATAGATGATTCTATTGTTGAGTTACTCGAATGGGCTGAGGTTTCGCATACGTCTGGCACCAATAGGTTTGGGCTGCCTCACCTAATAATCGTCCTTAATCGCTCCGACGATGACTCAGACTGGGATCCTATGGCGACTGGGCAACAGATCCTCAATGAACAGCAGCGCATTTTGGAAGAGAACCACAAGGCAAAAGCGATAGCCGACAGATTCCGCAGGGTTGTTATTGAGATCCATACCCTGGAAGATCTCCTCCTAACCTCATACGCGTCTGTCCATTTCATTCGGCTTCCTAAGGGACAATCTGCTGTCTGTCTGTCCTCGCAGTTAGGCAGACTGCACACGATGATCTGCCAATTGAGTAACCAATCATTGGACGAGAAGGTTCGTAGAAGAATGCTTCTCTCGGCTCCAAACATGGACGAATTCTCCAGGCTTGCTTTTGACCATTACTCAAACAAAGTCAAAGAGCCCTTCGATTTCTTAGCTCAGCTAATATCCCTTCGCCCGCCCCCAGCTAAGATGGCAGCCAGGCTCTCGGAACTAATGATCGAGACGTTCAAGGCTTTAGACACAAATGGCGATCGAATTTCCATTGTATCGCGATTCTGCGGTGTTGTGGCTCCACTTGTCTGCTCAATCATGGCCTTAGATGCTGCACGGTCGTTTGAAAATCTTCCAGGGAGATGGGTTGACATCTTCTGCGGCGAAACTGACCAAACAGCTCAGAGCTCTTGGGGATCAAACAAAAATTCCTATAAAGTGCAGGTCATTGAAGCATTTGACCTTTTTACCTCCATGAGCTTGAAACGTGAATTCCAGGACACATCAGGCGGCCAATGTGTGAACAAGAACGCAACTCACCAGTACCACCAAAACAGTCAAGGCAGGGTTATTGGACATGGATCGTATGAGTCGCAGCTTTTCGATGAATTGATGGTTCAATGGGATAATAGTCTTCACAGCAGACTGGAGGCACTTAACCAGGAAAACGACAGTCAAGACACACCACAATTGAAGCGTAACCTACATGGATAATTCACAGGTCAGCTGTACAAAGTCTGTACTCGGCTGTCGGGACCTTGGAAATCTCTGATCTTATGGTATGCTCTTGGTGTTTTTGCAATGATTCTTCAGAGCTTCTAGCTTGTGGACATGGAGTCTGCAGCGCCTGCCTGGCCGAGATCGCGTTACCAGCGTCGACAATCGATCAAAGGCTAAAGGCGGTTCATTTGTGCGACTTACATAATCCATCGCGCTTATTCGAGCCGCCATTCCAGTTTCTTCAGCTTCCAACAAACATTGGCCGCCGTATCCTCTCTTTGGATGGAGGCGGTAGTCATTGTGCCATTCAAGCGAGTATCCTGAAAGATATAGAGAACCGGTTGGGGGGCGAAATTCCTATTCGGCACTTTTCGATCTCATCGGAGGTTCAGGCACTGGCGGCTTGCTCGCACTTGGCATAGGCATAGGAAATTGGGACGTACATAAATCTGCGACTCATCTTCTCAGCATCCGATCCAAATCATATCTGTATAGGGGGCTTGAGGATGCCATCAAGGAGGCATTTGGGGAGGATGTTGCGAGGCAGAGGATAATCGGAAGTCGGGTAAGTAACAGAGTGGCAACATACAACGGGAGGCTACTTTTGCTAATCTTGATGGCCAATATAGGCACATGTGTCCGAAAGCCCCACAAGGGTCTTTGTGATAGCAACGTTGTACCAAACTTGTGAAATCCAGGAATCAACCATCATGACTAATTACATGCGATCCGAGGGGCAATGCAAGCTAAGAGGTTCACCCCCCACAGCTGAAATCAATCTAAGGGGCCAATTTCCAGAACTGAAACCTATTGCCTATGTATACGAAGCAGGACACAGAGACGGGCAGAACTTTACAATCCGTGACGCGGCAAAAGCAACTAGCCAAGTCCCAGCTTCGGAGGGCCACTTATGTAGCCGAGGTGCTTTGTACTTAGATGGTGGGATATGCTGTAACAATCCTGCGGAGATTGCGATGGCCGAGGCACAGATTATGTGGCCCTTGGACCAAAATACTGTCTCGCACCTGTTGCTGTCAATTGGTAACGGTTGGGCCCAGGACGCGGATGATTTAGCAGATGTTTCCAACAAACAAAGCTCTTGGATAGAAACGAAGAAAGAGCAGCTAATTGAATACTTCAGAGAAAAATCGACAAAACTTCAGAGGCAGCTGGATCGGAACAGGCTGTCAGAGAAGCCTTGGAACGAAGCCCTGAGTCTCATTGGTGAGAGACACGCCACTCGATGTATGCGATTGAACCCGCAGATTTCAGAGAACAAAAACCCAGAAGATATTGCAGCCAGTTATGTGTCTCAAGAACAGAGTGGCCCTGATATTTCCAAACTCTGCCATACCCTTCTGGCGACGACATTTTACTTCGATGCAACTGAACGGCACCGCCAAATTGGAAATGACCGTTGTTTGATAAAGGGTGAGTAGGTTTCCATTGGATAATTAACGATGTACGTTATCTAATATCGGATAGGAGAAATCCTCTGTCGCTTTCCACAGGGTGCAGACATAACTAAGAGCTTGGGTGGCGTCTTGGAAAGTTTACGCAATCCCCGCGTCGAGCTGATTACTCCTGGTTCTGAACATAAAAGATGGAATTTTAACGCAGACATAATCTTTTGTATGAAGAGGGATGGGCTATTTAATGTGCCCATTACTTGTGAGGTTCAAAGATCTCAATGGGAAATTGAGCTGGTGTTTGTTACTGATGATAGTAAAGAGGAGCCCATAGGTGTTGGCATTTTGCCTTTTGCGTCATAATTCCTAAGTACAGATTGCTATAGTGACCTTATATATCTAGCTTATTTAATGCTACACCCAATCCGGGAACCAAAAGAGACCTCTCTACCAATACATCGTTCAATGCTTTCTATGCCACCGTCCAATCTATACATTGAATCCCTTGCCTTTGGATCGGACGCGTGTTTGTTGTCACTCAGCTATATGCTGTATTAATCTGTTAGCTATTGTGCTACACTGTCCACATTATTAGCTGGGTGTGTTATTTGTAAGGGATGAAAATTTGGGTTGCTTTTTCTTTTTCTGCATAGAGGATGGGGACTCTTTTTTAAGGGATATTATTACCAGATATGTGCCCTGCTTGTTGGAAGCTGATGGCTGGTCTGCCAAGAATATCGGCTAGTTGTGGCGGCTCGAGAATGCCTTATGGCGTTGAGCTGAAAAGATCGACTTTGCATGACCAACAAGAGATTATGAGGGTCACATAATTGGAATACAGAAGCTTATGCCTTGGCCTTGGCAATCCCGTTGCCACGCCTAACGAGCAGAAAGGGAGTACTAAAAGCTTCCCAATTGTGGTTTGTACTTGAAGTTTTGTGATCTGTTGCTAGGTCACACAGTGCATATATCTAAGCCTAGAATAAGCATAAGTCTTAGGCCAGCCGCGTAAAATAACGCTGGGTGATTACCCCTAATTAAACAGTTTCTAAATACTCAATTGTTCCGCATCGAGAACAAAAGGTATTAAGATTGAAGCTACTAAGGGAGGGTTGTCGGCACGTCTGATGGTAGTACTGTAATCTTTCCAGGCATCACTCTCTTCTTCTCGAAAGATCTTTAGTTTATTAATCTTGACCTCTATTAGGTTCATGTTGAAAATGAGACTCTATTGCAGCTTTATATTTTGCGAGCCAGAAAATCAAGCTTTAGGTTCTGCTAATGCTTCAGGGCCGTATGTCTTGTGTTTTGGCTTTAAGTTTTTTTTATTAAAGTAAAACTACTTATATGTATTGAATAAGAGGTTTATTCAGGCTACATTAAATATAATACTCCTAAGCTTAGCCCTAATTAATATATACCCCCTTAAAGCGAGAGGGTTAGGAGATATATATATAAGTAAATCTAACTCTATACTATATATTTACTGGCCCTAAATCGGCTTTATATTAAGCATTATAAAAGCCTTTAACTAAAAGCTAATACTAAAAGCTCTTAAATTTATAATTATAGCCTTTATTTGCAGCCTAAAGGTTATTCTTATAGGCTATAGGTAATTATAAAGCCTTAATTATAAGAATATATATACATTATAATCCCAAACCAAGGCATTAAGAAAGGCCCTAACTTAGTTTTTTAAACTATCTATTCTCTTCAATACAACAAAACACGTCTCCGTTCATCTGGCTCTCAGTTGTGCTTCTTTCCGTTTCATAGACGACTACTGATACGTTTCGTGAGCGCTTGTCAATATGGCATCAGTTTATTAGGGTTTTACTGACCGTATCGATCTTGCTGCGCACGAGGCTGGCGATGCTGCTTGCACAGAGTTTGCTGTGCAACTGCACTATTCTTTTCTGTAAGAAGCCTAGGTAGGCATAATGGGCAAGTTTGAGAAGTACTCCCGGTAGAATACGAATCAAGAACTTGTTCGTAGACTGTGTTTTGATCTCTTTGTCCGCAAGGGCATCTTGTGAAACCGTCCCTCCCGCAGTAGGCCCCATCACTACCGACAGGCTGGCTACTGTAGGTATTTCTCTTTTCTGTCCTTTCAGGTCTCCCCGCAGTTCCGTACCCCCACGAGTCGATTTGTGAACAGGTGATGGTGTTTTCATTGATGCTTGGCTGAAAGCTTGACGTCGGATCGTTAATAGAAAAGGCGGCGGAAAAGTTTATTGCATTGAGGTTGGGTAATTCTTGGCACGCTAGAGTGACAGGGTGGATAATATTTTCATCGATACTTGGCTCAAGGCTTGACGTCTGATCGTTATCGGTAAAGACGACGGAAAGGTTTATTGTATTGAGGTCGGGTGATTCTGGGAACACTGGAGTGACAGGTCAGCTAGGAAGTAATTAAATCGGACTCGAAGCTAGACTTTTATCAGGCATTGGTGATTATAATGGATGGTGGCTGGCTGAATAAGAGTGTCGCGTAATGAAACTTAAAACGTTAATAATTCCAAGGTTCAGCACGCTGAAATAGAATGATTGCATTGGTGGTTTGGCTGCTAATATTTAAAATTCAGTTATCTCTTGCTGGAGCCCGAGTAGGAACAGAACCATGTCAGACCAGTGTCCCTGATGGGTTGCACCCTTATATAACTGGCCGTCAGCCTGAAATAACATTGAGGCTGTGTTGAAAATGCCAAGCCCAGATCAATCTAACGACTGAGGTTTTGACGAATTCATTAATTAAAATAAACCAGACATTAGTATTTTGTTTTTAGTTATTAAGACTTCCCAATAAATCTATAATGGCTTTATTCTAAAGCGACCTTGAGCATAATTGTTGGCTGTCTCTAGTACTAGTTCGACAAAACAAGGATCTGCAGGGATGATATCTGCAGTAAATATGCCCAGGCCTCCCAAGCATGACCAGGCTGATTTTGTACCAAGGAATACCTTCTAGGGCTTGCATTTATATAGAATTAATATGTGTCTCCAAATATCGTCGGCCGCGCAGTCTGTTTAGATAAATAAGTAAGATAACCTGGCATGCATAAGAATTTGGCATTTGGGGCGTAAATGATAAAGATCTGCATTAATTAATTTTCATAATAGTCTGAGTGTGCCTACAATAAGATATTATGTGATGGATAAGTAGTTAAGAACAGAACTTACAATATTTTTGTAATTAATAAACTTATTGTCAATCTGTCTATTGAATCTCTGCCTTTACTTTAGACAAGCATAGCTATCACTTATATAATATCACCTCAACAGCTAACGCTGATCCTACCACTCAGCAAGGAACCTGTGGTGAATCTATAGGCGGAAATATAAACAAGATCAATGCTCCGAGCAGCTGCAGCTAGTTATCCAATACGATATCTTTGCATACCATTGCGACATTGGGTTTTAATTAGTGAGAAAATTAATTCTAAGCATGAATTCTCGATAAGCTCGTGAGCCAATCAGAGCACCCGAGCTCGGATGTTCGGCAAGTGAGCGTCACCAGATTAACGGCTAAAAAGTGCCGAAACCTAGATCTCGTGGCTCGGGAGATCGCTTGTTCTGGAAGGTCGCCATGAGGCTTGATAAGATGGGCTTCTGCAACTTAATCTGTCTGATACAGTATGTACCGAAATGAATAATACGGGACAGAGTGATTTTAAATATTTATAAGGCGGTTTAACTTTTGTCTCAAGAGGAGTATGTTTGTCTGCCTTGTGAGTCTGCCTGGGCAATGTAAGCAAGACAATGCCTTGTTTCACGGTACCGGGATGACCCAGAGATCGACGGTCCCCACTGCCCACTGTCGCCTGACTCCCGCGCTGTATTGGCTATTCTACCTCCGGATCATCAGGAACCTTTGACATTCACAAAAGGTCTACCCCTTTAATCAGGAAGGTGGCATTAATCTTTCGCCGCGATAAGATAATTCCATTACCTTTGGCTGGCATCGTATACGGCTATAGTGAAGCGCAGTAGTAATGGAATGCGGGCTATCCGTGCCTATAGTAGCGCCCGATCGAGACCGTCTAGATCTATATATACCTAGTCTCATCCTCCCGTCTTGGCAGTATTCATCTTGTACAACCACCGTTCTTCCATTCAAGTTCCATATCGTCAATGATCATGAAGACAGCTTTGTTGAATGTCCTCACGGCACTTGCCCTTGTCGGCCAGGGCAGCTGTACACCCGCAGCCAGCCTCGACAAGAGGTACTTGCAAGAAGACGGCGGTATCAAGTACAAGGTCTTTGAACATGCTGCCACCGGTTCCAAGACCAAGATTGTCTCCAACTCTGGAATCTGCGAGACGACGCCTGGTGTGAACCAGCACTCTGGCTATTTCTCTGTCGGTAAGTGCCTCATTGAATTCACCCATTTCCTGTCTAACAGAGGTCATGACCAGGCACCAACATGAACATGTTCTTTTGGTTCTTCGAGTCACGCAAGAACGCCAAAACAGCTCCGCTGGCCCTCTGGCTCAATGGTGGTCCGGGCTGTAGTTCCATGATCGGCTTGTTTCAGGAAAACGGGCCCTGTACCTTTAACAACGGCGGGTCCAAGCCTACTCTGAACCCCAACTCATGGAACACCTTTGCCAACATGGTACAGTCACCAACTCTACACAAGAACATTTCACTGACGGTTACAGCTATATGTTGATCAACCCATTGCCACTGGTTTCAGCTACGGCACCGACGACGCTGTGTCCACTCTTGCTGCTGCTCCTCGAGTCTGGAATCTCCTCCAGGCTTTCTACGCACAGTTCCCCGAGTACGAGAACCGTGACTTTGGTCTTTTCACCGAGTCTTATGGTGGTCACTATGGTCCCGAGTTTGCGTTTTACTTTGAGCAGCAAAACGCTGCCATCGATGCTGGAAAGATCAAGGGCGAGAAGATCAACCTCGTAGCCCTGGGCATCAACAACGGATGGATTGATCCTGGTAAGTCATTTGACTTGAGATCTAGTTGCAATTCTGACATGAATTTTCAGGCAACCAGTACAGGGATTACATCGACTACGCCGCCAACAACACCTACCGCAAGCTCATCACACCAACTCAGTACAGCAAGTACCTCAACACGTATAACCAGAAGTGTGTCCCTGCATTTGCCAAATGCCCCGGTCTCACAGGTAACGATGCTGCGTGCGGCAACGCAGATGACGTCTGCAGCTCCGCTATTGAAAGCCCACTGGAGGGTCTCGCAGACTTTGATGTCTACGATATCCGAGCGTCTAGCAATGATCCTTTCCCTCCTTCGACTTACTCTACCTATCTCACATCTGCGTCTGTGATGAAGGCGATTGGTGCCCAGTCTGATTATCAGGAATGTGGCGATGAATCGTACAACAAGTTTATCGCGAGTGGTGACAGTATGTTTTCCGCCTATATACATGGTTACGACTAACGAATTTTACAGGGGGACGATCATTCTTACCTACACTCTCGCAAGTCATTGACTCCAAGATCCAAGTTCTCATCTGGGCTGGTGATGCTGGTAAGTTGACCTCCCTCTTATAACCCAAACAGAACCTAACAATATCTAGACTGGATCTGCAACTGGATGGGTAACTACAGAGCCCTCAACTCAATCGCCCCGCAATCATTCGTCTCGGCTCCTCTTCAGTCATTCACCGTCGGTGGAAAGAAATACGGTGAATTCAAGACCTCTGGAAATCTGAGCTGGCTGCGTGTATACGGCGCTGGTCACGAAGTCCCCGCCTACCAGCCCGAGGCTGCGCTGGCGGCGTTCATTGCGACCATGTCCAAGAAGCCTATCTCATCCACATAATGGATAAACTGGTAGTATTTTATGTCAGATATTATGAATTCGGTATTCCACTATGGTAAATAGTGGCTTTTCTTTGAGAGATAATTTCTTCATGTTGGTATCTATGCTATAACAAGGCCTATCACGGCCGTATGAGACCCCATTCAAGTGCTGCCTTCAAAGCAGCCCGTCGCAGCTCCAGTTGTTCTTCTCTCGTCGGAGGAACTGGCTCTACTCCACGCCTCTCTCTAGACTCCCTAGTCTCACATAGAACTGGCCCTTCGTGCTCGTCGTGTGAAATCGTATAGGAGCGAACCTCTGCATTAGCCCAATCCGTACCTGTCATTGTCAATAGCCAGACAGCTAAATCTGATTGGCAGCAACATACCATCAGGGTTCACAGAGTTGACCCAATCGTCCGTGAAGAAATGCAAAAAGCAACCATGAGTAACAACCACTATTTCTGACTCGGGTCTTTCGCTCAGCCATTGCCGTGCAGCCCGGGCCCTCTCTAAAACGCTGCCAACAACTGGAGCCCATTTACCATCCTAACAAATAATCAGCCCGACCCCAATGACCCAACATGACGTGAGATTGTATTGCATACCTTGATTTGCCAACCTGGCTCAACAAGACTGAAATCGACAGGCTGTTGTTGGAATTCGGCCTTTATTACGGAGAGATCGCTGCCCGTATCGCAGTTCATATCGCTGACTTCCTGTACTTCTGGCAAGGCTACGATCTGTAAGCCGCGTTCTAATTGCGAAGAAAATGCCAACAGGGTCGTTTGGAGGGTTCGTCGCAGTGGCGATGACACGACCAGGTCAACATTGGCGAGATCAGGGCACTTGGAGATCAGGCCTTTAGCTTGCTCTTGTCCCAGAGGCGTAAGGTCGGTGTCAGGAAGAACGTTATTCGCTTCGCAGAGGTTATGTACGGCTTGGCCGTGACGCACGAGATGAATTATTTGTGGCATGTTGTCTGTCTCACGGTAATTGAATGCTTTTAAATGGGGTTCCAATGCCTTTTGGGCTTCATCTTCAGTGAACTGCTCTATTTATACAAGGCAAGTCGATGAGATTCAGAAGTGGGGATTGTGCCGCCGGCTCCGCGGGTTCCGCCTGTAGAGACTAACCACGGACACTACCTCGGACTCGGATCCAGCCTTGCAAGGGATAATTACTTCAAATGCGCGTTCTCTAATTTTATGCCTGGGCTTATGTATTAATACCCCGGATGATACGTCATTGATACTACCCTGCTGGGCATCAAGTCAAACTTTACTACTGCTACCAAGGATGACAAATACCACGATTTGAAGACATACGAGGACAGTTGCAAGCCAAGAGTTTTGTTTCAACCAGCTGCTGACGACTTCTATACATATCACTCATGGGAAGTGAATTATTGTCTTGTTATAGTCTAGGAATGAACATCGTTTCAGTCTTTGCAAGTGCATATCGATACAGCTGGGTTCATAAGTATTATTTTCTATCCTGTCTTTTAAAAGGCCTAATCACCATTCATCATTCTTTGAAACAGTATGGCACCCAATTCCTCCAATATAATCCCTCGCAGCAGTCTCATTATCCACAATCTTGAGGTTACTACCCGCCCGCTTCGTCTCCATCTCCAAAACGCCCACGGGGTCTATGACAACCACCGTCCTCCCATCAAGCAGCAACCGCGTGATATCCGCCTGAATAATCTTCTGCGCCACCGCATTAAACGAAAACACATCGCGGAACGAGAACACCACAGCGCACACGAAGCGGCTCCGTCCAGACCCGGGATCATCGGGGCTCGGATCGCCGAGTTCTCGTGTGATGGCGCGTGTCAAGCGCTCTGAACCGCCGAAGCGCACTACACCGCGGAGACTGAAGATGATGACTTCTTTGTTGCAGTTTGTGTGGTGCGGCTCGTTGTCGCCGGGGAGGATGGTCGCGACGGATACGCGCACGGTCGCTTGGGCGATCTGGCTGACGTCCATCATGTGAAGGCCCATGTCGCTGGATAACTGCTCGCAGATGGCGACACCGCGAACACTATTTCCCCGTGAGTCAAGCTTGGGTGAAAACACAGCGATACCCATTTGACCGGGCAGAGCACCGATGATACCACCAGCAACTCCACTCTTGGCGGGGATGCCAATCCGCGATACCCAGTCGCCTGCAGCATCGTACATGCCGCAAGTCGTCATGACGGAGAGGATCTGCCGCACGCTGTCTTGCGGAATGATCTTTTCTCCCGTCGCAGGGTGACAGCCCGCGTTGCAGAGCGTAGCAGCCATGGTCGCCAAGTCTCGAACATTGACGTTAATAGCGCATTGGCGGATATATCCTTGGACAATCTGCTGCGCGTCGCCGGTGATGATACCCGCTGCTTTGAGCATGTAACCAATTCCCATGTTTCGATTGGCGTCTCGCAGCTCAGCCTCGTAAACTTCTTCGCAGACGCGCAATTGACGACCTGCTAGCTTCGACATGGCTTTGAGGATGCGGTCTGATCGTTGCTCTGCTGTCCAGTCTGGTCCTCCAATGAGAGAGTGTGCTGTGATGGCTCCCGCGTTGATCATGGGGTTCATGGGTCTGTTGCTCCCTCGCTCCAGAGACAAACTGTTAAACGCGTCTCCCGAGGGTTCCACGCCAATCTTCTCCAGCACCTTGTCCAACCCCGCATCCTCAATCGCCAAAGCGTACACAAACGCCTTTGAAATAGACTGCATCGAAAACTCAACATCGTCATCGCCAGCAGAGTAGATCTGACCGTCCACCATGGCCAGCGCAACAGCTATCTTTGACGTGTCCGCCTTCGCCAGCGTCTCGATGTAGCTGGCGGGCTTGCCATCTTCTATGGGCCGTGCATTCTCCAGCACCCGGTTGAGGTAGTCGGGGATAGGGGACTTCATCGGACGGAAGGGTATGGGCTTGAGCTGCTTTGATGGAGGAGGAGAAAAATTAGTTCTCACCGCTGAAGGCATTATGTGGTCGGCTCGCGGGAGATGTCGTAAGCCAAGCTATTTGGATCAAGCTGGACGAAAACGGATCTATCCAATCACGATGGAGATGCTGTAGTGAAACCTTCTCAGAGACTAGTCGCAATCGAGAACGTAGGATATCGTAGAAGATCGAGCAGAGAATGACTATAAAATTATATCTGTAGGAAAAAGTCGAATAGTTATATAGACTAGCAAGAGAAATTGGCAATTGGTAAATTTTCATCACATGAGTTCAGACTTTTCCACCCACAAAAGTATACTGTATGTAAAATTTACATAACGATAACTATACCAAGTCCCTCGCGCAATAGCAATGTGGTCCGTCGTAGCCGTGACCAACACACTAAAAAGCGTATTACCATTTTACATAATAGGTAGCTTCTCGGTAAGGCGAGAATGAAACGCCTCTCCCATCGGTGAGAATCGGTGAGGGTGAGTGCGGGGAGACGCGTTTCTCATTCGTTGGCGCTGGTGTCAAAAAAATAAGACTGCCGATGACGGGATCGCGGGTGTTTTTGGGAGGGTATGCTTGTATTTTTTAGTCTGGGGCTATCTTGTGCGCGCGCTAGTATCGAGGGGGCCATTCCGTGTCGGGGCTGTGAGACATGGCTAAGCCTGTTTTGAGAGATGGTTTCATTATCGATAAGTCTGGAGGCATCTTAGCTCAGTAGACTTTGACAGTGAGAGCATAGCGTCTGTGGTACACGATAACTGGCTCTCCATGTCATTAACCTCATTGAGCCCTCCCTTGAAAAAGTCAGATCAGATCAGAATTGACTCTGCGGGGTTATGCTTCAGCAAGAGTCTAGAACCCTGAGAGCCAACGTCAGCAAAACAAGCTTTGTTTAGAGTTCCGATCCCTGCTTTGAGCCCCTGTCAATGTGTCTCATCACGGCGTCGTGATTGGATATCACGGCGCCACCACCGCAAACACCAGCGTCACGTTATAACGATCCCAGCCCCTTTGATCGGGTTTTCTGTTTTTATTTCTTAGCTCTCCCTCCTCCCAAAGTCTATTTACACTCTTACTTTATTTAAGCTTATTCTTTATTCAATGTTTGTTTGCCTGCTTGCTTGTTACTCTGACTCGCGATAATGGCGAGCAATATCCTCCCCGGCCATGGCAATGGTCACAGAGATGAATCAACCCCGCTTCTGCCGCAGATCTCAAGTCACATCGCCCACGAGGGAGAAAGCGGGAGAAGCGGTTTCCATCCTCGTCATTTCCTTGCTGTTCTCTGGCGAAGCTCTTGCACCGCGTCGAAATGGGTAAACATCCTCTGGCCGTTTGTCCCCATCGCTATCATCCTTCAATTCTTCCCTGGCCTGCATCTCTGGAAGTTTGCTACCGCGTATATTGCTGTCATTCCAACTGCCAATCTACTTGGCTTCGCTGGACAGGAGTTTGCGCGGAAGTTGCCCAAGGTAGCTGGTATTCTCATCGAGACGACGTTTGGGTCTATCATTGAGATTATTCTCTTCATTGTCTTGCTTTCGAAGCATGAGACCAACTCTCCTGAAGATAACGGCGATGAAGGCAATCTTATCCCCATCATCCAAGCCGCGATCCTCGGTAGCATCCTGACAAATCTTCTCCTCTGTCTCGGCCTCTGTTTCTTCGTCGGCGGCCTCAAGCAAGCCAGCCAAAAGTTCCACGCCATTGTCTCAGAAGTCGGTACTGGACTCCTGCTTGTCGCAGCATTTGGCCTCCTCATCCCCAGCGCCTTTTACTCCGCCCTCAAGGCCGAGGTTGTACCCGACTTTCCAGGCTTCCGAGTTCTACACGAGAAGTTCACGGAGGGTAAACTCCAAGACGATGTTCTTCGCATCAGTCAGGCAACGTCTATTGCACTGATTGTTGCATTCTTCTTCTACATCTGGTATCAGGCCAGCAGCCAGCATAGTATCTTCGATGAGGTTATCGAGATGGATGAGCACCGAGATGCTGATCGCGAGGCTGATATGGAGAAGCCCAAGTTTACTATGACCGAGGCTATTGTCGCTATATTGATTGCTCTTGCTTTTGTAACCGCTCTTCTCATCTTCCTTGTCGAGAAGATTGAACATGTTGTTGAGAGTGGAGTGCCTGATCAGTTCTTGGGTCTCATCCTTTTGCCTTTTGTTGAGAAGGCTGCCGAGCACCTCACAGCTATTGACGAAGCATACGGTGGGCGAAATACTCCAGTCACGAATGAATCACTGCTAACAGCCTGAGTAGATGGCGTTATTAACGTCGCCCTGTACCACTGCCTCGGACCATCCATCCAAACTGCCCTTTTCAACGGCCCCCTTGTCGTTCTCGTCGGTTGGGCCATCGGAAAGCCCATGGACCTGAACTTTGAGATCTTCATGATTGTTCTTCTTGTCTTGTCCATCTTGGTGGTTGGAAACTTCCTCCGTGATGGCGAGTCCAACTGGCTTGAGGGTGCACTCCTCGTGGTAAGTCAAGACCAACTTGTAAGCATTCTAGTGACTGACACTCGCAGGTCATCTATGCTATTATTGCTATCGCGTGCTGGTACTATCCAAACCCTGACGTGGCTACTTCAAATGGCCTCGAAGGTTCTGAGATGATCAACGTCACTATGAGTGTTGATACTCTGCGTCAATTGCAGCAACTTATCAATGCGCAGCTGCCGCAGAAATGAGCTGCCTAGCTTATGGTGATGCAAGTCCTGGGCTGCTTGGGACTTACAGGAGGTGACGATGGAGGATGTCGGTGATCTGAGGATTATCTTGCTGAAAGCTTGCTTGTGTGCTTTTACGCATTGGATGGATAGTTCGAGTTGTTTATGTGTTGTGACGATATTGAGATCGATGAGCGAGCCTTTTATCTGGAGCGTTATTTACAGTATGCCCATATCGTTGCTATCTGAACTATTGCTTCTCGATGATCAAAACCTGACTATCATAATCCCCTTCAAATGTCAACTGAATGCCCATATTCATCAACGTTGAACCAGAAACCGTCTGGTTATTGTCCACCTTGTACTTGGCACTTGCTTCCAAGCCTTGAAGTCGAAACCAAGGCCAAGAGTTATTAATAGTGGCTCTTGTCTGGAACGCAAATAGCACGACTTTCTTGCCATCCTCAGAAATGAATTGTCCAGCTGGGTAGTTGGTTTCCTCAGGCAAGGCAAGTCGGTAAAAGTCGCCGGTGATGACGATCGGGTTGATCTTTTCAGAAAGTTCAATGAGACCAGGAATTTGTTCCCTCTCCTCAGGCTCAAGATCGCTTGGGTCAAGTTCGACGCCAAAGGAGCCGCCCATCATTGCAACATGGGCTCTGAACTTGACGGACGTTATTCTCTGGGCATTTCCGTTAGGGACATGCGATAGATGGGCTCCCATTGCAGACGGAGGGTACGCTAGTGACGTGCCGAATTGGATAGCGATACGCTCGACTGCATCTGTATCGTCCGACGTCCAAATCTGAGGGAACCACTGAAGAACACCGGGATCAAAACGACCACCGCCCGAAGCACAGCCTTCCCACAGAACATCAGGGAATCGACTCGTCAAAGTCTCAAAGACATGATAAAGACCAAGCATATACTTGTAGTTGAGAGTAGGATCAGGAGTCTCATGGATTCCGCGGTTGTTATCCCACTTGACGTAGGAAATCGGCGATTCGCGGAGGATCTTGGAAACGGAGTCGATGATGAACTGTTGGACCTCGGGCAGGGCTACATTGAGAACTAATTGGTTACGCGTCTCAGTTCGGGGATATGAGCCTGCGTGGATCGCCCAGTCGGGGTGTTTATCATACAAGTCTGATTTGGGGTTCACCATTTCGGGCTCGAACCAGATGCCAAACTTGAGATCATCGGAAGCATTGGCAATTCTTAGATCTGTGACATTTTCGACCAGAGGAGTCAACCCGTCAGGGAAGCGTTCCTTGTTAGGTTGCCAGTCTCCGAGACCCGCTGAATCGTTAACTCGCGGGTACTTGTTACCGAACCAACCATCATCCATAACGAACAGTTTGATACCGAGGTCGGCAGATTGCTTGGCGATCTTCTCAATGGCAGTCTCGTTGATTTCGAAGCCCAAGCCCTCCCAGCTGTTGAGAAGGACAGGGCGTGTCTCCTCGGCGTATTTACTCTTCATCAAATGCTTTCTGTACAGGCGGTGAAATTGTCTGGACATTCCGCCGACACCTTTGTTTGAGAAGACAGAGACGACCTCGGGCGTGGTGAAGGTTTGGCCGGGTTTCAGCGGCCACGAGAAGTCGAGAGGATTGACACCGAGAATGGCGCGGGTGAGGCCCTGTGAACTCTTCTCAACGTCCACGGCGAAGGAGCCGGTGTACACCAAGGAAAAGCCCCAAGCTTCGCCTTGAGTTTCTGTAGTCGTAGATGAAACAAGAGCGAGGAACGGGTTATGAAGATGAGACGAATAACCAGTAGAGCTTTGGAACCTGCAATGCCATTAACAATCTGTTTCAATGCTTCACCGATCTGATGCTCACCCTTGAGTTCCAAAGTCAACCTTTCGACGCACGCGCATACCCTCACGTGCCCAATCTCCCCTAATCTCAATAAGATCCAGATCATCCTGCTGCAAATCAACACTCCAACTCGAAACCTTTTTCAAATTCACCGTCGCATTCCCGCGATTCGTGATATTCACACTCCGCACAACAGCATCATACTTAGGAAATATCGAATACGACAGATCGACAGCAATAGAGCTGTAATTGTCGTACATGCGCACCACCAACGTCGACACATCATCAGCCTCGCCAAACGTCGACGGAAGACCCGGTAGCCCAGGTTTTCCTTCTACAACCTCGTGAGACTTGTAGCGAAAGTCGGTGACGGTTGTGCCGCTGGCTTGTTGGAGCTGGAACGCTGGGATGCGGAAGTCTCCTCTGCCGTGGTCGGGGAATTCGCGTCGGACGCGGCCGATCAGGTTGACCCAGCCTTGGATGGGGCCAATTTCAGCGGTGATTCCATCTTCGGCGACGGGGCCGCCGTAATGGTCGTTGATAAGGTCTCCAGTGGTGTTGTCGACGTGGAACCGGTATGAGACGTTATCGCCGTTGAGGGCGAAAGACGTGCCATCGACGCGAATTGCTGCAGACATATTAATGTTGTTCAATGTGAGAATAATGGAGATGAAGACTCACGATCTGAGCTCTCCGCGACAGCCGAAATGGCCTGACAGAGCAGAACTGCCGTCGTCGTAATGCTCTTGAATGTAACAAACACCATCTTGACCCTAGCAAAAGTTGTTTAAACGAAAGTCAAAACGGAGGAGTTATCCGCGGGATCCGACATGTTTATAAATCCTCAGAAAAAGATCATCATTTCAAAAGTTCCAAAGTCACAAGGAAAATTCGAGAATCCCAATATCACTCGTGATGATCTCGACTTCGGGCCGATCTTGAATTGGAGTTTGTGGGGGAGAGGTTGGACTTGGTGATGGCGGACTACCGAAAGATACCCCTTTGAGTCAAGATCGTCATCGTTTGTGCGGAGGATCAGCCCAGATTCCCCAGAATTGGAGGTCGTTTGGATAATAAACTTGGTCATGACGTTGAGTTTATCCGCACAAATAAGAAACCTGACTTTAAGACTTTCAATAATTGGTTTTGGATGGCGACGCCAATTCAATGTCAGGATATTTATCCATGGAATTCATAAATACTATTATGAAAGCATAACTTACAGTGGTGGAAGTCGGATAATTATTTACCCTGAACCCATATCCATCCAGATTCCGACATGATTGGCTCAAATTCGAGATGAGGGGAATCAATGACACTGTCAATGGATTCACGATCTTCACGAGTTTATTCTCTTAAAATCCAACGTATGGGATCTTGGTTTGATTTGATATGGACCTCAAAAACATTATTCTTCCATTCCAAGACTCTTCAACACAATGGGATATCCACATAGACGAAGGAGTAGTGACCTCCATGAAACCATCCGCCGACAAGACAACGCCAAGCGTAATGCTTCCCTCACTCTGCCACCCTCATATTCACCTCGACAAACCATATCTTCTCACCTGCAACCACACAAAATCCTCCAATCATCCAGACTACTCTGACCTAAGCCCCAAAACAGGAGGGTTTCAAGAAGCCTTGGCCAATACAGCTGAAGCAAAGAAACGCTACACCGAGGAGGACTTGTACTTACGAGGCTCTCAGCTTATAGCCACGAGTTATAAACAAGGTGTTACCTTTATGAGAGCCTTTGTTGAGGTTGATTCTATAACTGAGCTCAAGACTCTGGAAGTGGGAATCCGGCTGAAGAAGGAATTCGGGGACTTTTTGACAGTGCAAATCTGCGCTTTTGCCCAGGACCCTATATTCTCGACGGAGAAGGGAGAGGCGAACCGAGAAATGTTTGAGAAAGCGCTTCAACGGTTCAGTTCAGAAATTGAGGTAATTGGAAGTACTCCATACGTGGAATCTGACCTTGAGGCACAGAATCAGAATATTCGGTGGGCTATTGAGACGGCATTGAAGCATGGCAAGCATCTCGACTTTCACATTGAGTTTAACCTGAAAGGCGATGGAACGCACATGGCTGTTTTTAATCATGTTATTGAAGAGCTCGAGCGTCTCAAATGGCCTACATACCCCGGCGCTCCAACTGTTGTATTCGGGCATGCTACCAGGCTTACTCGGGCTACTCATGATGATCTCGGCAAACTGTCACAGAAGCTGAGGGAGACAAGATTACCTGTCCACTTTGTCGGACTACCAACTAGCGATCTCTACATGATGGGCAGACATGGTTCTGATGGTTCTGAACAAAGCGAATCACTCAGTCGACCATGCGGTACAATCATAGTCCCCAAGCTAATCAAAGACTATGGAATCAACGCCTGCTTATCAGTCAACAACGTCGGAAACCCATTCACTCCCCACGGCGATGGTGATCCCCTCAAAGTAGCAAGCTTGGGCGTTGGCCTATTTCACGCCGGGACAGTCGAGGATGCAAAAGTTCTTTACGAAGCTATCAGCACGCGAGCAATGGACGCATTAAATCCCCACGCAGAAGGACATCATGACATGTTCACATTAGCGGAGTATCACCAGACGATGCCAATGCTTTTGTTCAAGAATGAAGAGAATATCGAGATTAGCTCGGCGAGTGGAAGCGTCAAGGTTCCAGCGAGGCAACGGCTTAGCATTCAAGATATTGTCTGGGATCCACCGGAGACACGACTCAGAAGCATCGTTGAATAGACTATATACTCAAAACTAGATCCTGTCTATTATCTACGCAACTCTACATAAAGGCCCATCCGGTCTCTCAACCCACTCCTCAGACCCAACACAAGTAGGACAATAGAAAACATGACAAGGATCATACTTCCGCTTCGTCTTAAGGTGCTCACCATACAAATTGCCATAAAACGTCTTCTTCCAATCAGGATCATTGCGATCGCCCTCATTCATGTAACCACCAGTATCAGGAGCCAACTTCTTCGCCGCGGCACCTTTGACAAACGTGACATCGTCATTCGCTGCTTTGCGCTCAGTGATATTTCCGGTACGAGAAATTCCCGTGCCCGAGACGAGAACGTAGTGTGATTTTCGCCACGCGGGGAGTAGTCCACTTGTCTTGTCTGAAGCGTCCTTGAAGACTTGGCCTCCAGACGTGAGAAGAATGACACTCGTGCCGAA